TGGGTGAGATAGAGCCGCTGGGCATCAAAACTGCTACTGATAGGGTTTGAGTCTTTATTTGACATGGATGATGAATTGTCTCAGCTATATTTAAACAGTAAATCGTAACACAGTGTAACAGTGTGGAAAACGGAAGTGAACTGAAATGAAACTCCTAAATAGGCAAATTACAGTGATCATCATCATACAGACCACAAGCTGTTTCAAGCTGACTCATGGGTTTCAGGAAAGCTGAAGGAGAACTAAGTCTTCTAAATAAAAAGGTACAAATAAAAATATATTTACTTACTGTAACTAATCTCTGTACTGTAACGGCAAAAGGAACTGTGGCAACATAGCTTCGCCAGAAACTGGTTTAAACTCCTTTCTTTTCTCTCTATGATGATGCACTTCTTTCTAAAAGTGAACTGACAAATGTATATTTTCTTACTGTTACCATTGTGTGTCTGTGTGTGTGTCTGTGTGTGTGCGTGTGTGTATTTGTGTGTATGTATGTGTGTGTGTATGTGTGTATGTGTGTGTATGTGTATGTATGTCTGCGTGCGTGTGTGCGTGCGTGTATTGGTAGGACTGGAGGTTACAGGAAAAATACAAAAGTTATGCAAAAGGAATGTTGTGTAAACACCTTCAACCCCATTGGTATCTGGTATTTTCCCATGCATTCTTTCAATTAACCTGCAGTGTGTATATACCATAGTTCTCCAGTCAAAAGTAGTGCACTTTATAGGGAACAGGGTGTCATTTGGGACAAACACACTGTAGCAAGTTGTGTGTACACCAGCTATGACATTCAGGAAGTGGTTGTGACACTGACAGGTTGGGGCTGCCCAATAAGGTGTGGCCTGTGAACGGTAGGTAACATGACATGAGCATACAGCCATGTAACCCATAAAGCCCCTCAGTCACTCTCTTCTGTTTCAGTAGCTGTCTGCACATCGACAATGGCACATAAACATATATTGTGGATCTTTACACTAACTGCCTCACTCAATCTCTCAGGTAAGTCATTGGACATACCCATCTACACACAATACAATGACAGGTTAACTAAACCACAGTCAGCCATATTCTCAGGGCACTTTATTCAGACTACTACAGTGAGTGTGTAGATATTCTCAAGGGAGAAAGTAAAACATTTGTACAAGTATGATTGAAAGGATTTCTAAAGTGGGGAATAAATATGATATGAGTTGTTTAATACTGAAGCAAAAATATTTGAAGAGGGGCAAAGAATATCTCTTCTGTATATGTTTTTCTGAGGGAGTGAAATAATGTTTTGATTAAAATGGAAGTCTATGTGATCTTTCAGATCTCCCCATGGCTTTGTTTAGTAACAGAAACTGAAATAGCAGCCAATGTATACTGAGTGTACAAAACATTAGGAACACCTGGTCTTTCCATGACATAGACTGACCAGGTGAATCCAGTTGAAAGCTATGATCCTTTATTGATGTCACTTGTTAAATCCACTTCAATCAGTGTAGATGAAGAGGAGGAGACAGGTTAAAGAGGCTGTTCTGAGGGCAAAAGGGGGTGCAACTCAATATTCCTAATGTTTTGTACACTCAGTGTATATTTCAGTCAAAACAACTTATACTTTTCATCCATTTGTTTCTATCACGGCTTCTGGAAATACAGAAAGCCATGATGAAAACATGTGGCAATGACAGAACACTAGACAGTGCTATTATGCTATCAGTTCTACATAGTTGAATAGTTACAGTAGTAATTACAGTAGTAATTACGGTCAATGAATATGGACAGATAACAGACGTAAAGAGTACTTTTTGTGAAATTGTGTAGCTGAAACTGGACTTTGTACCACAACAATGCCACATTCCTCAGTTCTCTCTCTCTCTCTTTCTCCTTACCTGATCAGGTGAGGTGAGTCAGGCAGGTACTACCTGTAAGCCCCTGTAAATACACACAGTGATAAAACCTTAACTTAGTCTCATTTTCACAACAACTATTGGGAAACATCATTGTAATTTAGTAATGTTAGTAAGTATTGACACACGTAGGGTGTATTCATTAAGCCGATTTTGTTGCAAAACGTTTCTTAAATAAAAGCAACCAGAACCAAAACGGGGAGGGACCTACCTGAATTTGTCCAATAGACACTATCATATTGCTCTGTTTGTTTCCGTTTGGTTCGCAAACGGTAAACAGTTTACGTAATGAATAAATCCCAGGAATGGATAGAATGACAACAGAGATTATTGCATTATCTGGTAAATTCACCCTGATTGTCGTGGGCATGGCCAATATGTCAAAACCTTTGCTCTTCCAATCAGTGGCTTGAGATTGCCTCATTTGCTCAGTCTTGTTTGTTTTAATGTGAACAGTTCGTTGTAAAAAATAAAATGTAAAAGCCAGCAAATCATGTAAATTCACATGAAAATACCCATACGTTTACCTATATAATAACCTAATCCCCCGGCTATTGCGCAAAGGTGGAAGTGTCTGGAAAACGAAATGACCAATAAAATGACATAATTCCCAATGTTCCTCTGTGGCCCAATCACAAAGCAGTGGATATGTACTTCAATGGGCCATGGTCAAGTACAAATCAAACAGGCCTGACAGAGAACAAGAAAGTGCAGCAGGATAACAAAGCATCTTTATCCATTTGTGTCAGCCCTTGACATACACTAACAAAACAGCACCTAGTATCATTATTGCTGGAACGGCTCATAGGAGCAGGAGCCTATGCCCTGTTTCTGTAGAGTGAGGCAGCGTGATGTACAAGTACACCCCCTGGACAGGATGCTAGTCTATCGCAGTCTATCGTATGCAAGGGTCAAACAGCCTGTGTGCATTGTGTACAGTGAGGGAAAAAAGTATTTGATCCCCTGCTGATTTTGTACGTTTGCCCACTGACAAAGAAATGATCAGTCTATAATTTTAATGGTAGGTTTATTTGAACAGTGAGAGACAGAATAACAACAAAAAAATCCTGAAAAACGCATGTAAAAAATGTTATAAATTGATTTGCATTTTAATGAGGGAAATAAGTATTTGACCCCCTCTCAATCAGAAAGATTTCTGGCTCCCAGGTGTCTTTTATACAGGTAACGAGCTGAAATTAAGAGCACACTCTTAAAGGGAGTGCTCCTAATCTCAGCTTGTTACCTGTATAAAAAACACCTGTCCACAGAAGCAATCAATCAATCAGATTCCAAACTCTCCACCATGGCCAAGACCAAAGAGCTCTCCAAGGATGTCAGGGACAAGATTGTAGACCTACACAAGGCTGGAATGGGCTACAAGACCATCGCCAAGCAGCTTGGTGAGAAGGTGACAACAGTTGGTGCGATTATTCGCAAATGGAAGAAACACAAAAGAACTGTCAATCTCCCTCTGCCTGGGGCTCCATGCAAGATCTCACCTCGTGCAATGATCATGAGAACGGTGAGGAATCAGCCCAGAACTACATGGGAGGAACTTGTCAATGATCTCAAGGCAGCTGGGACCATAGTCATCAAGAAAACAATTGGTAACACACTACGCCGTGAAGGACTAAAATCCTGCAGCGCCCGCAAGGTCCCCCAGCTCAAGAAAGCACATATACAGGGCCGTCTGAAGTTTGCCAATGAACATCTGAATGATTCAGAGGAGAACTGGGTGAAAGTGTTGTGGTCAGATGAGACCAAAATCGAGCTCTTTGGCATCAACTCAATTCGCCGTGTTTGGAGGAGGAGGAATGCTGCCTATGAGCCAAAGAACACCATCCCCACCGTCAAACATGGAGGTGGAAACATTATGCTTTGGGGGTGTTTTTCTGCTAAGGGGACAGGACAACTTCACCGCATCAACGGGACGATGGACGGGGCCATGTACCGTCAAATCTTGGGTGAGAACCTCCTTCCCTCAGCCAGGGCATTGAAAATGGGTCGTGGATGTGTATTCCAGCATGACAATGACCCAAAACACACGGCCAAGGCAACAAAGGAGTGGCTCAAGAAGAAGCACATTAAGGTCCTGGAGTGGCCTAGCCAGTCTCCAGATCTTAATCCCATAGAAAATCTGTGGAGGGAGCTGAACGTTCGAGTTGCCAAACGTCAGCCTCGAAACCTTGGAGAAGATCTGCAAAGAGGAGTGGAACAAAATCCCTCCTGAGATGTGTGCAAACCTGGTGGCCAACTATAAGAAATGTCTGACCTCTGTGATTGCCAACAAGGGTTTTGCCACCAAGTACTAAGTCTTGTTTTGCAGAGGGGTCAAATATTTATTTCCCTCATTAAAATGGAAATCAATTTATAACATTTTTGACATGCGTTTTTCTGGATTTTTTTGTTGTTATTCTGTCTCTCACTGTTCAAATAAACATACCATTAAAATGATAGACTGATCATGTCTTTGTCAGTGGGCAAGCGTACAAAATCAGCAGGGGATCAAATACTTTTTTCCCTCACTGTATCTGAGGTATTCATACTGTAGTTTGAAGAGACAATGTGTAAACATTAATAAAATGCATTAAAGTTCTGCACAAAGACTTCTCTTATTAACAGATAGGGCTAAGTCAACAGAAGCTTTCATTACAAGATAGTTGCCATAGCTCTGCCAAAGGTCCAACTATGTTGTTAGTGTACGCACCATACATTAATTTGTCATGGTTTGGTAGACACAAACAATGGAATAACCCATTACCTATAATTACAGGGTTGGCTGCACAAGGGACTGAGGGGATGAAGGGGCTGGAAGTTGATGAACAACCAGAGGATCAAAATTCAATGTTCAGGAGACCAGGAATTTCAATAGAGTAATTTATATAAGTAGAGCCGGGATTGTGCCGCTGCAGTTCACTGCTATGCTGCCACCTGACTGTTCCTTACCATTGGACCAGTCAATGCCTGGAGACAAGCAGGTTAACATCATCCTCTCCAGGTTATTAAGTTTAGAATAGATAGGATCAGTATGGGGATAGACAAAGATGGTCCATTCTTGAATTCTCTCTCATCTCTCTACCACTCCATCTCTCTCTCTATCGCCCCACAGTGAGTCATGGTCCTCTTGAAGGAATAAGAGACTATGAGGTGGTCCGACCCATCAGGCTACATTCTCTGCAGAAAAGAGAAACACAAGTAAGTCTTCTTCTGTTATTCCTCCCTGCACTGGAGCTGTTTTGCTGTGTAATACTCTATAAACACCAATGCCAAAATATTATTTGTTAACAATTGTGTTTACTGCTTGTAATAAAGTGGTGGAAGACCGACCATGTTAATGTAGTGAGGAGATATTATACTGCATCTATGGTATCAACTAATTCTAATTCTCTGTAACACTTTATTTGGATAGTCCATCTGTAGATGCTCCACAAAGTATCTACAGTCTATAAGTAACATTTCAACTACCTATCTACTAACCCTAACCTTAAACTTAACCCTTACCCTAACCCTAGCCCTAAACGTAGCAAGCTGTTGCTTATCCACAGATAATTTGTTGATAGTAGAGTAGACTATCCATATAAAGTGTGACCTAATTCTCTCCATCAGTCATCCAGGCCCGAAACTATGAAGTATGCAATGAGAGTGAGTGGGAAAGACATTGAGATGCATCTGGAGAAGAATAGGTATGTACTCTGACAAAAGCCTCTTTCAATCTCTTTCTCCAAAATGTTAACCTCTCACACAACATCAGTAGACAGGTCACATGCTTCTTCATTCCCCTTAACAAGAAAGGTCCGTATGTAGAGAACCGTCTTACCACAGTGTAATGTTCACTTCCCCTTTATAACCACACACTGCATCATTGTCAAACGTCATTAATGGAATTACAGCATGAATTCCGTTGAATATATAGGTGTCTGAGGATATAATGTAATGAATAACTTTATTTTTGTTCCCTCAGCGAATTACTCACCAAAGACTATAGTGAGACTTACTACACTGAGGATGGCACACCAGTCACCTCCACGCCTCAGGATGTGGTAAGGGATTATGACAAACCGTTGATAGGTAGCCAAAGGCTGTGTAGAAGTGTCTTGATTAGAAGGACCTTTAACCTTTTAATTCATTATTTTCTCCAGGACCACTGCTACTACCACGGCACTATTGTGAATGACAGTGAGTCAACGGTTAGCATGAGCACCTGCGATGGACTCAGGTAGGCAGCCCCACATTTCTACAGCATATACACTACCGTTCAAAAGTTTGGGGTCACTTAGAAATGTCCTTGTTTTCGAAAGAAAAGCAATTTTTTTGTCCATTAAAATAAGATAAAATTGATCAGAAATACAGTGTAGACATTGTTAACGTCAACAGTGAAGAGGCGACTCCGGGATGCTGACCTTCTAGGCAGAGCTGCAAAGAAAAAGCCATATCTCAGACTGCCAATCTTAATCTTTTCTTTTTATTGGCCATTCTGAGATATGGCCTTTTCTTTGCAACTCTGCCTAGAAGGTCAGCATCCCGGTCATTTTGAGCCTGTAATCGAATCCACAATTGCTGATGCTCCAGATACTCAACTAGTCTCAAGAAGGCCAGTTTTATTGCTTCTTTAATCAGCACAACAGATTTCAGCTGTGCTAACATAATTGCAAAAGGGTTTTCTAATGATCAATTAGCCTTTTAAAATGATAAACTTGGATTAGCAAACACAACGTGTCATTGGAACACAGGACTGATGGTTGCTGATAATGGGCCTCTGTACGCCTATGTAGATATTCCATTAAAAATGTGCCGTTTCCAGCTACAATAGCCATTTACAACATTAACAATGTCTACACTGTATTTCTGAACAATTTGATTATTTTTTATTTTAATTGACAAATAATTTGCTTTTCTTTCGAAAACAAGGACATTTCTAAGTGACCCCAAACTTTTGAACGGGAGTGTAAGTCCACAGTGAAACACTACCCCAAATCAGTTGTGTAATGTCTATTATATGTTTTTATATTAGGGGATATTTCAGAACAGCTGCCCAAAGGTACCTGATTGAGCCCCTGTCAGGGGGGGATGATGGCGATCACGCAGTGATGAAATATGAGGACCAGAGCTCCAAGCCTATGGTGTGTGGAGTCACCAATACTAGCTGGAATGCAGACTACCCTCCCATAACTAGCAGGAGCCGCTCTCGAGCCTCAGTAAGACATACAATCTATTAATATATTTGAAATGTCCCAATAAATATAGTCTGATGTGGTATCTGACATCAAACAGAAATAGCAGAACATTTCCCTAACAGGAAATGAGGTGTTCTGATGAAGGCCATAGATGGCTGAAAGGTCAACCTTTTTAACTTTGCTTGAATAAAACATTGAGTTTTTAATGGTGAGCGAGTGTTGCACCTTTTCCTTTTCAATGATGATCAAATGTAACCATATATATAACCACAATGATTTCCTGTTTATTAGGGTCCATCTCTACTTCAACAGCAAAAGTATGTTGAGCTCATCCTCGTTGCAGACAACCGTGAGGTAAGAACTTGCAGACAAATACGCCAGAAACACAAGTCCCACCTTTACCAGAATCAACACAATTGTCACGTTCGTTCATCGACGGGTCAGACCAAGGCGCAGCGTGATATGCATACATGTTTATTTGAAACGAATAAACAACGACAAAACAACAACCTAAACGAAACGTGAATCCAAGGTACACAAACAACATACCTCACAACGGAACAAGATCCCACAACCCACTAGTGCCAATAGGCTGTTTAAGTATGGTCCCCAATCAGAGAACGAGCGACAGCTGCCTCTGATTGGGAACCACACCGGCCAACATAGAAATGACTCTAGTTTGGCTTGTTTGTGTTTAGCCTGTGTTGAGCTTCACGTTACGTTCACTCCAGCCACCCTAGTCATAGACTGTTCTCTCTGCTACCGCACGGCAAGCGGTACCGGAGTGCCAAGTCTAGGTCCAAAATACTTCTCAACAGCTTCTACCCCCAAGCCATAAGACTCCTGAACAGCTAATCATGGCTACCCGAACTATTTGCACTGCCCCCCCACCCCATTCTTTTTACGCTGCTGCTACTCTGTTAAGTATTTATGCATAGTCACTTTAACTCTACCCACATGTACATATTACCTCAACTACCTCAACTAGCCGGTGCCCCCGCACATTGACTCTGCAACGGTACCCCCCTGTATATATAGCCTCCCTACTGTCACTTTATTTTACTTCTGCTCTTTTTTTCTCAACACTTTTTTTGTTGTTGTTTTATTCTTACTTTTTTTGTTTAAAATAAATGCACTGTTGGTTAAGGGCTGTAAGTAAGCATTTCACTGTAATGTCTGCACCTGTTGTATTCGGCGCATGTGACCAATACAATTTGATTTGATTTGATTTGATTTGTTGTGAGTGTTTATTCGTTAATAAACATGTATGCATTCCACGCACTGCGCCTTGGTCTGACCCGTCTCTCAACGTTCGTGACAATTTCAATTGACTGATTTCCTTAGATGAACTGTAACTCAGTAAAATCTTAGAAATTGTTGCATGTTGCGTTTATATTTTTGTTCAGTATACAGTATCTAATGAGTCAGTAGTGAGTAATGCATTGAGAAACAGGATGTCCGCTGTTCTCTTGTAAGCACACTAAAACATGATGCTGTTTCAGTACAAGAACATGAAGAGTAACTTCGGAGAACTGCGTAAGAGGATGTTTGAAGTGGTCAACTTTGTCAACATGGTGAGTCAATAACTGCAAGGGGGTAGTATTAGCAAACTGCAGTAAATCCCCTATAAGATCCGCAACAGGACCTACAGTAGGTGCTTTTAGCAACGCAGGTGTATTTACATACACTAGAGATGCTTTCAATTGTATTGGGTTGCACAAATACAGTCCATGGGAAGCCAGAAGTTAAATACAATTCCATTCCAACTCACTGAACAGCTCAGGAAGGTTGGTCATTATGATGGGGGGAATTTGAGACAAATTCAAATGTCAAAATAAAAGTCCCACACAAGTTTTTAATTTTATTCCACATATGGCACACGTGCAGGACTTTTATTTTGACATTTGAATTTGTATTTGTATTTATTAGGGATCCCCATTTTTGTATCTTTGTATCTGTCCCATTATGGCGTCTGTGACAGGACGGGCAGCGCCATTGAGGCAATCTCCATTTTGAAGAAGTCAATTTTCTTCTACTACTATTTGTATTTGTTTTTATTAGGGATCCCCATTAGTTCCTGCCAAGGCAGCAGCTACTCTTCCTACGGTCCAAGCACACATGTATTTGTATTTGTATTTATTATGGATCCCCATTAGTTCCTGCCAAGGCAGCAGCTACTCTTCCTGGGGTCCAAACATATTAAAACATATGACATTAGTACACCACTACCTATCTACAATACAAAAGGTTTAATACCACCATACAACAATATCACAATGTGTGTGTATGCATGTGTCTATACCATTGTGTGTGTCTCTTCACAGTCCCCATTATTCCATAAGGTGTATTTTTACCTGTTTTTTAAAATCTGATTCTACTGCTTGCATTAGTTACCTGATGTGGAATAGAGTTCCATGTAGTCTTGGCTCTATGTAGTACTGTGCGCCTCCCATAGTCTGTTCTGGACTTGGGGACTGTGAAGAGACCTCTGGTGGCATGTCTTGTGGGGTATGCATGGGTGTCCGACAGACAGACAGCTCGGTACATTCAGCTTGTCGACACCTCTTACAAAAACAAGCAGTGATGAAGTCAATCTCTCTTCCACTCTGAGCCAGGAGAGATTGACATGCATGTCATTAATGTTAGCTCTCCGAGGTAAGTAGAGAGAAAATGGGTCTACAACAGATCCACGTTTGGATAGTCTGTTTAATAATACAATCCTTTAGTCCTGCCCACCGGCACAGTAAGTTGAAATGGAATTGTATTTAACTTCTGGCTTCCCATGGACTGTTTTTGTGCAACCCAATACAATTGAAAGCAAAACTAGTGTATGTAAATAGACCCGAATAGCTAAAAGCACCCTGCTGTCCGGTAACCCAATACCACCAACACCTCCATGTAAAAAGAAAATCTCACCTTTTTGTCTTCTGCCTGTACTTGTACAGTACGTTTTCTTCACTGCCTTATGATGTCATTCAACTGAAATCTCACTATATTTTATCCCTATCAGTCATGAGACCCCAGTAAAAACGCCTTTTTATTTATCTGACCTTTTATTTATCTGCATGTCCAGCCCTTATATTTAGCTTCACAATTAAGTGTTTAACCATTTTCTTTTCAGGACAACCAGGGCTACAAGTAGAACACAAAACAATTTAACAAAAACAGTTGCATTCATGAGTTTTATTGTCAAAAATAAATAAAAAGGTCAGCCAAAGCAAACACCTGATAAAAATGAATTTATATAAATGTTGTAAGTATAGAAATTGTTTGCTCAGTGGGAAATTAATATCCAACTAGACAACATTAAAAAGGCTTACAGTGAGGGAAAAAAGTATTTGATCCCCTGCTGATTTTGTACGTTTGCCCACTGACAAAGAAATGATCAGTCTATAATTTTAATGGTAGGTTTATTTGAACAGTGAGAGACAGAATAACAACAACAAAATCCAGAAAAACGCATGTAAAAAATGTTATGTATTGATTTGCATTTTAATGAGGGAAATAAGTATTTGACCCCCTCTCAATCAGAAAGATTTCTGTCTCCCAGGTATCTTTTATACAGGTAATGAGCTGAAATTAGGAGCACACTCTTAAAGGGAGTGCTCCTAATCTCAGTTTGTTACCTGTATAAAAGACACCTGTCCACAAAAGCAATCAATCAATCAGATTCCAAACTCTCCACCATGGCCAAGACCAAAGAGCTCTCCAAGGATGTCAGGTACAAGATTGTAGACCTACACAAGGCTGGAATGAGCTACAAGACCATCGCCAAGCAGCTTGGTGAGAAGGTGAAAACAGTTGGTGCGATTATTCGCAAATGGAAGAAACACAAAATAACTGTCAATCTCCCTCGGCCTGGGGCTCCATGCAAGATCTCACCTCGTGGAGTTGCATTGATCTTGAGAACGGTGAGGAATCAGCTCAGAACTACACGGGAGGATCTTGTCAATGATCTCAAGGCAGCTGGGACCATAGTCACCAAGAAAACAATTGGTAACACACTACGCCGTGAAGGACTGAAATCCTGCAGCGCCCGCAAGGTCCCCCTGCTCAAGAAAGCACATATACAGGCCCGTCTGAAGTTTGCCAATGAACATCTGAATGATTCAGAGGAGAACTGGGTCTATAATTTAAAAAAAAATGTAAATGTAAACTGGGTGAAAGTGTTGTGGTCAGATGAGACCAAAATCGAGCTCTTTGGCATCAACTCAACTCGCCATGTTTGGAGGAGGAGGAATGCTGCCTATGACCCCAAGAACACCATCCCCACCGTCAAACATGGAGGTGGAAACATTATGCTTTGGTGGTGTTTTTCTGCTAAGGGGACAGGACAACTTCAATGCATCAAATGGACGATGGACGGGGCCATGTACCGTCAAATCTTGGGTGAGAACCTCCTTCCCTCAGCCAGGGCATTGATAATGGGTCGTGGATGGGTATTCCAGCATGACAATGACCCAAAACACACGGCCAAGGCAACAAAGGAGTGGCTCAAGAAGAAGCACATTAAGGTCCTGGAGTGCCCTAGCCAGTCTCCAGACCTTAATCCCATAGAAAATCTGTGGAGGGAGCTGAAGGTTCGAGTTGCCAAACGTCAGCCTCGAAACCTTAATGACTTGGAGAAGATCTGCAAAGAGGAGTGGAACAAAATCCCTCCTGAGATGTGTGCAAACCTGGTGGCCAACTACAAGAAACGTCTGACCTCTGTGATTGCCAACAAGGGTTTTGCCACCAAGTACTAAGTCATGTTTTGCAAAGGGGTCAAATACTTTATTCCCTCATTAAAATGCAAATCAATTTATAACATTTTTGACATGCGTTTTTCTGGATTTTCTTGTTGTTATTCTGTCTCTCACTGTTCAAATAAACCTACCATTAAAATGATAGACTGATCATGTCTTTGTCATAGACTGATCATGTCTTTGTCAGTGGGCAAACGTACAAAATCAGCAGGGGATCAATTACTTTTTTCCCTCACTGTATTTATATAATGAATATGAATTCGGATGACAGAAATTATTAAATATTAAAGCATTAGACCTATCACTAAAAGCTTCAGTCATACAAAAGTTATACTTAAATCCGAACTGGTTCTCTAGCAAATTAGTAAGATTGTCTCACCCAATGTTCAAGAATGGCCTTTTTCCCTTTATTCAGATTACAACCTCTCACTTTCAGTTATTTGAAAAGGAAATAATCTCCCAAATATCACTATTTCTAAAACAAGCCATAGAAAGTTGGTTGCAATTTCAATTTAATCCTCCAGAAACGACAGAACAAATAATGCAACAAATATTGTGGTTAAACTCAAATTGATAAAAACACTTTTATTTTTGACAAAATGTTTAAAAAAGGTATAATATTCGTACCCGGGCCCCACCCCCTTGTTTTACAAACACCACTCTAGCTCAGCCCCCGTTAATCACCCTGACTAATTGGTTGCAGAAGAAATAGACGAATCCAATCGTACAACCCAGAAGTCTGTAGCTCAAATACAGCGTTTTAAAGGGGTTAGAACTCCAAAACATGCAGGCGTCATGGGCCGGTTGCTAGGGCCGGTTTCCAGGACACAGATTAAGCCTAGACAAAAAGGACAAAAAAGTAAACTCAACGGAGAATCTATCTACATTTGTTTTAGTCCAGGACTATGTTTATTCTGTGTCCGGGTAATCTACCCCTAATTGTTTTAATGGGGAGAGTCTCAACTCACCATGCAATTAATCTGCCTGCAGGTATACAAGCCCCTCAACACCTTCATTGCCTTGGTTGGTCTGGAGGTGTGGTCAGACAGCGATAAGATATCAGTGACTGCCCCTGCTGGTGCCACCCTGGATGCCTTTACCAAATGGAGGAACAGCGACCTGGCCAACACCAAGCACCATGACAACGCACACCTCATCAGGTAGGCCACGACGTACACAATTTATCAGGAAGGCCCCAACGCACACTTCATCAGGTAGAGCCCAACACACACCTCATTAGTTAGGCCCCAACACAAGGCTCATCAGGTAGGCCTGGACAAACACACCTTCATGTGGGCCACAATGCACACTTCATCAGGTAGCCCACAACGCACACTTAATCATCTAACTCTGCGTTGCTTTGTGCATAACAGCCCTTAGCCGTGGTATATTGGCCATATACCACACCTCCTCTGGCCTTATTGCTTGGTCTGGAACGTTGTTATTCTTGATAGACCCATATTTAAGAATTCATAACATGGGTATTTGACAAGTATGGGTACTTGACATGTATACGTATGTGGGGTTGATATGTTTCTTGTTCCCTGTGTTTCAGTGGCATTGACTTTGAGGGATCGACGGTGGGTCTGGCCTTCATTGGGACTCTATGTTCAGGTCATTCAGCTGGGGTGGTGCAGGTAATTATTTGAATGTGGTAATAGTACATTATTTGCATGAGGTGCATTTTAATACAGTTGAACAGTAACTCATATTCTATATCAATGTAATCTCTAACTTATGCATCCAGATCAGTTTCACTGATATAAAATCTCTTTTACAAAATAAATATGGTCCAACACATTCAGGTTTACTGAATGTTAACTATGTGTTTTACTACAGGATCATAACCCCAGGGCCATTGCCGTAGGGGCGACATTAGCCCACGAGATGGGCCACAACCTGGGCATGAACCACGATGACTCCAGTGCCTGTGCTTGTTCTGGGAATAGCTGTATAATGGCTGGGGCCCTCAGGTAAGGACTGGTTTAAGTTTTGAGATATAATCTTGTGACTAGATTTGAATGGTGTCAATGATAAACCATCTGATTGATTGTGTTTTACAAGGAAGAGGGAACCTGTATTAAAGAACACTTCAGGCATTGTTCTCAGCCCGTAACACACACAGAGCAGCCATATTGCAAAAACATTGACATGGAACATAGCTCATGAGACTATGTAGCAATAGCAAAGTGGTGTGTTACTGTGGTTATATTATATGAAAACGTAGCCTATTTGGCTAACTAAAGTGTTTCTTTCAGCTGGGATATCCCAAAGTCATTCAGTAGCTGCAGTAGTGTAAACTACGACCAGTTCCTGAATAATCGTAACCCTGAGTGCCTGCTGGACAAGCCAGACTACCGGAATGTGGAATCGACCCCAGTGTGTGGCAATGGCTTCCAGGAGAAAGGAGAGCAGTGTGATTGTGGCTCACTGGAGGTGAATGCACCTTTCATTTACATTCCTTACACCACCTTTTTGTATATTTTCTCTCATTATCCTAGATCAACAATGCACCGGTCAAATCATACAAAAGTATTTTGGTTCTCATGGAGTTAATACAAGGATGACAAGTGATTACAAAATATATATAATTTTTTAAAATCAAAGCTAGCTTTTACTAAAATGTTAACATTAATCTATGACCGCATCTGATCAAATGTAGAGTACATTTATTTTTCAACAGGACAGATAAAGACAAACATTTCTGGGAATACGTTTGACGCTTTGTCTGGTCTTGCCTGCTTTCCTTGGCTAGGGGCAAACATAAGGAATGTACATGACAAGCACAGACCTTGCCCGATCACTGATATATCTCCTCCACCGCCCACCTCAGAAAAACCTATGTAATTTTTCCAACAATTGTTTACAGACAGACTATTTCACTTATAATTCACTGTATCACAATTCCAGTGGGTCAGAAGTTTACATACACTAAGTTGACTGTGCCTTTAAACAGCTTGGACAATTCCAGAAAATTATGTCATGGCTTTAAAAGCTTCTGATAGGCTAATTGACATCATTTGAGTCAATTGGAGGGGTACCTGTGGATGTATTTCAAGGCCTACCTTCAAACTCAGTGCCTCTTTGCTTGACATCATGGGAAAATCAAAAGAAATCAGCCAAGACCTCAGAAAAGAAATTGTAGACCTCCACAAGTCTGGTTCATCCTTGGGAGCAATTTCCAAACGCCTGAAGGTACGACGCTCATCTGTACAAACAATAGTACGCAAGTATAAACATCATGGGACCACGCAGCCGTCATACCGCTCAGGAAGGAAACGCGCTCTGTCTCTTAGAGATGAATGTACTTTGGTGCGAAAAGTGCAAATCAATCCCAGAACAACAGCAAAGGACCTTGTGAAGATGCTGGAGGAAACAGGTATAAATGTATCTATATCCACAGTAGAACAAGTCCTATATCGACAAAACCTGAAAGGCCGCTCAGCAAGGAAGAAGCCACTGCTCCAAAACCGCCATAAAAAAGCCAGACTACGGTTTGCAACTGCACATGGGGACAAATATTGTACTTTTTGGAGAAATGTCCTCTGGTATGATGAAACAAAAATAGAACTGTTTGGCCATAATGACCATCGTTATGTTTGGAGGAGAAAGGGGGTGCTTGCAAGCCAAAGAACACCATCCCAACCGTGAAGCACGGGGGTGGCAGCATCATGCTGTCGGGGTGCTTTGCTGCAGGAGGGACTGGTGCACTTCACAAAATAGATGGCATCATGAGGAAGGATATTGAAGCAACATCTCAAGACATCAGTCAGGACGTTAAAGCTTGGTCGCAAATGGGTCTTCCAAATGGACAATGACCCCAAGCATACTTCCAAAGTTGTGTTAAAATGGCTTAAGGACAACAAAGTCAAGGTATTGGAGTGGCCATCACAAAGCCCTGACCTCAATCCTATAGAAAATTTGTGGGCAGAACTGAAAAAGCGTGTGCGAGCAAGGAGACCTACAAACCTGTCTCAGTTACACCAGCTCTGTCAGGAGGAATGGGCCAAAATTCACCCAACTTATTGTGGGATGCTTGTGGAAGGCTACCCGAAATGTTTGACCCAAGTTAAATAATTTAAAGGCAATGCTACCAAATACTAATTGAGTGTATGTAAACTTTTGACCCACTGGGAATGTGATGAAAGAAATAAAAGCTGAAATAAATCATTCTCTCTACTATTATTCTGACATTTCACATTCTTAAAATAAAGTGGTGATCCTAACTGACCTAAGACAGGGAATTTTTACTAGGATTAAATGTCAGGAATTGTGAAAAACTGAGTTAATGTATTTGGCTAAGGTGTATGTAAACTTCCGACTTCAACTGTACATGTCCATGCATAGTATGATAGCCATGCCTATATGGTAAGCAGGTATAAGACGCTTTGATTATAATTATCCACAGTTTACATTCCAGTAAGAGTTGGAGTTAGTTAAGCAGAGCAGTTTAGTTAAGCAGAGCAGTTTAGTTAAGCAGAGCAGTTTAGTTAAGCAGAGCAGTTTAGTCAAGTCAATATGTCCAGACCTGTTAGTCAGGCTGATAAGACACAATCTTATTATGTTCCTGTCTTGCTGAACCACTCCTCTCTTGTCAAGTCTTGTTTGCTTCAGATGCCTGTAATTCCAGTTTCTCTTGACGGCCTACTACAGTTCAATGTTTGTTTTACTTAGTATGTCTTACTGTGGTGTAATACACTAAGGGGTAAATATGTAGTGGGAAACCGCTTAGTATCTAGTCCAAGTCTACACATACACAGAGGCTTGACTATTTTGAGATACAGTATTTACATACTGATCTCTTTAAATCATTATCATAATGACATGTATGGTTTGATGTTGTTATAGGAGTGTACAAACCCATGCTGTAATGCCACCAGCTGCACACTGACTAAGGGCTCAGAGTGTGCTGCAGGAGCGTGCTGTGAAGACTGTAAGGTGAGAGCAGACCACAGTTCAACCATGCCTCTGCTCTGGGAGGATCTCAATTGCATACTCCTCTCTCCTCATCTCCTTCTTAATAAAACCCATTGGATGAGAAAGCCAGAGGTCCCTCCCCTCTGATCTTCTCCTACAATGTGTTTTGAGAAAGAGACAAGGAGTTTGCAATTGAGATGTTCCCTCTGTCTGCTCTTTACTTCCTTCTGTGTTCCTTTGATACTAAAGCCTTCTTGTGGACATGCAGCAGACACGGATAACTATGTCAAAGATTGTTTGACTCAAATGTATAAGTACATTCAAGACATTTCACTTTCATTCTTTCATTTTATGAAACTTAAAAAGTAAAGGAATTACTGGAAGGAGAATATTTTCCATATCATCACACTAGAACAAATGCCATAGTCTTGAATACTTATTGTTTAGAACTAGTCTGGCAAAAGCAGCTCGCTGTGTCCCAAGTGGATCTGCATGTCAGCCAGGCTAGTTTAGAACTTCTATTTCAGCAAACAGAGTAGATTCAGAGTGAAGTTGCAGCATGACACCTCTTTCACCAACCTAATAAACTATGTTGCCATACTCATGGCGGTCGGCTGTGGGAAGACTATCAAGCTAGTGATACTAAACATGGCAACAACAACTCTCTCCACAGATCCTGTCCTCGTCCAGAGTGTGCAGAATGAAGCATGATGACTGTGACTTGGCAGAGTACTGCACAGGGAAATCAGCCGACTGTCCCGAGGACGTCTTCACCGTTAATGGGATTCCCTGTGATGGAGGACGGGGCTACTGCAACAATGGCCAGTGTCCACAGCACCACGACCAGTGTGTGAAAATGTATGGACCGTGTAAGTGAAAGCATTTCCTTCTGTCTCATCATCACTGAGGCACCTTTCATCTGTTTAGGTGATGTAGGTAGCTCTTCTGGTTCATATTCTCACACAGCAACCTTACAGTATAACTGTGGACACAGAGGACACAAACGGTAACTTCACTACTACTCTAAGGCATTGTGTAACATTGGGTGTTATCGCCTCCTCAGCTGCTGAAAACGCCAGAATGTACTGCTATGACCAGAACACCAGAGGACTGTACTACGCCTACTGTAGACGGCCTTCAAAGGACCAGTACATCCCCTGCCAGAGACAGTGAGTCTCGACAAGCAATACCATGCTATTTTAAGAAACAGTTTTTCCTACTCAGATTATAGTGTTCGTTTTTGAAGCAGTGTGTCACTGATATGATTTCCCTGTGGTTCTCCTCTGTAGAGATGTGCAGTGTGGGAAACTCTTCTGCAAGAACGGCAACGACAACCCCAACTACGGTCGCATGGTGATGTTCTCTGACTGCAAAGCCTCATTCTACGAGGATTACAACAGTGATCTTGGACAGGTGGACACTGGAACCAAGTGTAATGATGGGAAGGTATAGTGACTTTTTGGCTTTTCACGAGGCTTCTGTACCTCTAGCTGTGTTTTGGGGAAATGAAATGAGATGTCAGATTTAATGTGTACAGTGTTATTTTCTCTTAACCCTTATTCCCATTTCCCTGTCTTCTATTCTAAGGTGTGCAGCCAGAACGAATGTGTGGATCTTGAGACAGCCTACGGACCTAAAGTCACCAACTGCTCAGCACGATGTAAAGGACATGCTGTGAGTACAGTGCTTCAAGCGGCCTCCGTCTCTGGTATTTGTGAGCTTGGGGATGACTTACTTGGTCTCTGGCTCTTATAAGGAGCATAAGCCATTGACAAATGTCCTCCATCTCACTGGGTTTGGTGCAGATCTTTCCAGGTCACAGCACTTGAGGACGTTCTCTTTCATCTCTGACTGGACTTTTCTCCTCCCCGTAAAATAGAATTGTAGAAAATCCATTGAAAATGTCCTTATAATAATGTGTGTGTTTCTGTGTTGTGCCACTACAGGTGTGTAATCACAAAATGGAGTGCCAGTGTGAGCCAGGATGGTTACCTCCCGGCTGTGATACAAAGGATCAAAACTTCAGCGGTCTCTCCAGAGGTAGGCCCTGTCCTGTGCATAAAGACATCCAGATTTTTTAAATAACAAAATAAAAAAAATGGTTTCAATGGATAAAAGGGATAAGACTTTATATGTCAATACAATGTTACTAGAGTGTTACAGTGTTACTACACAGGTATTTGAGCATCTTCATGTAAAGTGTTGCCAATAGGTTTGGTCTGTGCTTTCATGTATTCAGCTCATAGACCTTGCCATAACAGTCTTCCTCTCTGTGTGATTGTAGAAGGAGTGATTGCCATTGCAGTGACAGTCACTCTGCTGCTCCTGGCTGCTATTGCTGGGGCAGTGGCTGTGTTCCTTAAGAAGAGACAACAGTCCCCCACTCTCCCTAGGTGAGTACACTAGGTGGACCTTACATTTACATTTAGTCATTTAGCAGACGCTCTTATCCAGAGCTACTTACAGTTAGTGAGTGCATACATTTTTCATACTAAACCATTTAAATAAACATTTATACATAGGCTTAGTGCCCAAACACATACACTATTCACTGCAACAAGATTATCCTTTTGATGAATTGAGATCTACTCAATTGCCAGGTCTCCCTTGTAAGAGAGGTCTTCCGACCTTAATGGAACTTCCTGGATAACTAAAAGGTTAAACTAATAAAAAGCGTCACTGTCTGTTCATCCACCAGCTACAATACTCAGCAGAACACCAGTGCAGTGTCCAACGACCGCAATAAGAAACTGATAATCCCCAGCCAAAACAACGCTATGCCACAGCAGGTAATAACAGTGAAATACCTTTAAATTTATACAGTATCATCTCAATGTAGGGATTGGTTTATTTTTATTTTTTGTGTTGCCTATTAGCTAATGCATCGCTTTACAATTTCCAGCCCAAGCGACCAAAGGGTGCTCCGCCCCCACCTGCTGCTAGCCAATCAGGAGCCCCAGTCTATGACTTCAGGGCAGCACGACAGGTAATGGTGATGTTTCTAGTGCTGTTTCCCTAGGTCTGGGATTTCCGAGACTAATATCTAGACAACAATAGTTAAAGGGATGGTTCATCAAATGTTAATGTTTGGATCAAATTCCTATTACCTGGCTTAAGTTAAACAATTGTATTTATCCTCCAGGCATTGCGGCCCCCACCACCACGGGTCTGATGTCGCCATCGAGAGGAAACAGGAGGATCACAAACCTTACCAAGACCTCAAATGCAGGGCTGCAACTGCCAGGCCAGCCAGAGCTGAGTGCAGTCAGCGCATTGAGACCTCTCTTCTTTGGGTTTATTTTACAGATACCTAGACTAGAAACAGGTTTGCTCTTCCATCACATCTGAAGTAGCCTGCTCCCAGTCCCAGATCTCTTAGTGCTCTTGCCAAATCCATTGCTCATTGTTTGGCATGATAGCACAGACAGACTGTCACTCAGGCTACCTCTGAAGCCCCATGACTGCGTTTGTGCCAATGATGTGCAGATTGCAGGTTGGGCAAACTCGGTACAGTCACAAATGAGCCATGGACTGAGGAGTCCTCTTTATGAGGAACAGATGTCTTAAATTGCACTTTTTAGTATTTAATAGCCATATAATTTTATACCTGATTTGTCACTGCCATTTGAGGGAGTGAGTGCACAGTATGTGATATAATATGCAATTGATTTTATACTACTAAATATGCTGAATACTGTAAGCCAACAGTAAATTACTTTTATCAATAGTAAATATTACTGAGGGGGACAGACATTGCAGACTAAAGTAAACAAAAATATTCAATTACATGTGCACTCAAGTTTTCCTCGACTTCAAATTGAAGAAGTCCAGTGAGCAAGACCATTAACTTATGCATCTTTGCACAGCGTAGAACACTCCAAATGCTGCATAACAAACTGAGACTATTCTCAGTCACAGACTGGCTGTAATGACAGTATACCATTACTTGAGGAACATCATTTTCTATATCAATTCTGTTTCCACTATTTTCTTCTCTCTGATTGTACAAAAGTTACCACCTGATTAACATTTCAAGCATTAAAAAATATATATTTACATTTGACATGACGGTCCTGCTGATGTAGAATTGTGATATTTATAAACAACATTCAGGGCTCAACATTTAAACACTGAAGTACCCAATGACATGCATCCACCCATTCAACCTGACATGTAGAGAAAATATATTAGCGACATGTAGTATAACTCAGATCAAGGGAGACTAGAATGTAACAAGAGCAATTGAAGCGAGAAAGCATCTAGCATACCATCCTCAAATCTGCAGAGCTAAAAACTCAGACAGCCAGGACAGGGAAACGCTTAGTATTTACATTTTATTTTTCAAGTGATTCATCTACATAGATCAAGATTTCATGGCCTCGCATGACAAGTACTGTACTCGACGAAAGGATTATTTTCATCCTTTTTACAGCTAGAGACTTTTGAATGACAAATACTTCTGTACATTCTGATAAATATTTAGAAACTGACAAGAGATCAGAAATACAGCCCTCCTCTACTCCCCCTAAGCCCTAGCTAACTTCACACCAAACCAACATTTCAAGCGGTTGTGAATGTGGAAAAAACTTTGATTTTTAAGGAGCATCTTTTGACCGTTTTCTGAACCCACAATACAGTAAAAGAGATGTTTTATTGTAAATAAGCATCTGGGCAGGACATTCTGATGGCCATTCTCCCCCACCAGTCACACACAGGTGTTGGTGTTTGTTTAGGAAGTGGCATGGCACATTAAAAGCAACTCGTTTAAAGCCGGATAATATATTATAAAAGGGAAAATTCACATGAGAATAACAAATCTTAATGCTTTTCTCAAATGATTGAAGACAATAGAATAACTACCTGTGACGGGAGGAGTGTCAGAAGCAGTTCTAGCCCCCCAAAAATCTAGGGCTAAAACTCTAAGCACCGGTTCATTGAGTCACAAGTCCTAAAGAATCAAGTAAATCCTTAAAGGGTTGGGAGCAGGTGTTACAAAAGCAGCCAGTCTTCATTCCTGCCATGGAGGTGATCAAGACCATAATAATCAGACACTCAAATTAAACATAGACAAAACATCAGGCATTACTTTTCTTTTACTGCATGATCAATGTAGTCTCTGTATGCTCCCCAGCTTTGCACTACCACCGATACTGAGAATTGTGTCAGTCCGTGGGAGACATGATAAAGAGAGCTGCTAAAGAGAAAGGAAATTCCAAAACATCAATCTTCACAGCATCACTGAGAATGACTCAATTTACTACTCTTCGGGCTACAGCATGCCTCAAACTGCTAGCAACTAAAACATTTGATTGGAGCCCAGCTTTCCCTTACGCTCATCACACTGGAGTCATCTAACGCATATGCATCAAATCAACAGTAGATGGAGACACCGACATAGCTTTTGTCAAGAAACCCAAAAAACATCCTTTATGTAGTGTTGACCAGAGAGCAATATGAAATCAAACTAAGTGTCATTAATATTATAACATAGAAATCTCATCTAAAACATAAAATAATGAACACAGAGTTTCAGTTCATTTTGGGACGATATGAGCTGCTTTCCCATCTGCTCCATGGGAAAGATTACTCCTCCATCTTGAGAAGAGGACACTGGTTGTTCTTCCTTGATATTAGGTTGGTAAGTATGTTTCTTCACCATGTACCATGAAGACTTCTTTCCCTCAGCTCAATGTCCCAGAAAAGCTAACCCAAATGGGAGCACCGCCACCACCACCAAGTCTTCTTGGAGATGAACCAATACATACTGTACACCTATATCCCTTTTGAATCAGACTTTGGTTTTGCAGAAGATGATCCAAATATATTACATAACCCCCCCCCCAGCTGCTTTCAGTTAAACACACTGGTAAAACTGTTGGTTGGTGACAGCCTGCAAGCAACAAACTGTCAAAACCCTATCCAGAACACATAAAACCAGAGAAACTAACCACCATCCACAGATACGTCACATCAATAATCGTAGCAAGCTAGAATCAATTCTTCCATTTGACATATAGTTTGGAAATGTACATTACATTTGAGTCATTTAGCAGATGCTCTTACCCAGAGCAACTTACAGGAGCAATTAGGGTTAAGTGCCTTGCTCAATGGCACAGACAGATTTTTCACTTAGTCGGCTTGGGGATTCGAACCAGCAACCTTTCGGTGACTGGGCCAATGCTCTTAATAGCTAGGCTACCTGCCGCCCCAGGGCAGTTTCTCAAGGATTGACTAAAGGTTGTAAGATTAAACCCGGTTTACCCTAAATTCAAAATACAGGAGGAACACGTTGACCCAAAGCAGCTCTAAATAGCATTCAGTGTTCAACCAAAAAATTTGACAAAAAAAAGAAAAGTTGCAGGTGTTTTTAATGAACTTCTGCTGGAGGTATAAAATAATCTTCTGCAATGCCGTCTCAAATCTAGTTCCCTTAACTATTTTCTCTCCAGTTAATACACATCATAATATAATTTAAATATAAATTTATGAGGAGCACACACTGTCGATTTTCCCTTGCGAAACACATAAAATAATAAAAAACTTGAATTGACTAAGAACGGATAATAAGGTCTCCTTCAATAGCTACCTCATTCATCAACTAAAATTTACAAAATGGTCTTTATGGTTTTCGCTCTGACATTTACAGTGAGGGAAAAAAGTATTTGATCCCCTGCTGATTTTGTCCGTTTGCCCACTGACAAAGAAATGATCCGTCTATAATTTTAAATGGTAGGTTTATTTGAACAGTGAGAGACAGAATAACAACAACAAAAATCCAGAAAAATGAATGTCAAATATGTTATAAATTGATTTGCATTTTAATTAGGGAAATCAGTATTTGACCCCCTCTCAATCTGAAAGATTTCTGGCTCCCAGGTCTCTTTTATACAGGTAACGAGCTGAGATTAGGAGCACACTCTTAAAGGGAGTGATCCTAATCTCAGCTTGTTACCTGTATAAAAGACACCTGTCCACAGAAGCAATCAGATTCCAAACTCTCCACCATGGTCAAGACCAAAGAGCTCTCCAAGGATGTCAGGGACAAGATTGTAGACCTACACAAGGCTGGATTGGGCTACAAGACCATCGCCAAGCAGCTTGGTGAGAAGGTGACAACAGTTGGTGCAATTATTCGCAAATGGAAGAAACACAAAAGAACTGTCAATCTCCCTCAGCCTGGGGCTCCATGCAAGATCTCACCTCGTGGAGTTGCAATGATCATGAGAACGGTGAGGAATCAGCCCAGAACTACACGGGAGGATCTTGTCAATGATCAAGGCAGCTGGGACCATAGTCACCAAGAAAACATTTGGTAACACACTACGCCGTGAAGGACTGAAAACCTGCAGCGCCCGCAAGGTCCGCCTGCTCAAGAAAGCACATATACAGGCCCATCTGAAGTTTGCCAATGAACATCTGAATGATTCAGAGGAGAACTGGGTGAAAGTGTTGTGGTCAGATGAGACCAAAATCGAGCTCTTTGGCATCAACTCAACTCGCCGTGTTTGGAGGAGGAGGAATGCTGCCTATGACCCCAAGAACACCATCCCCACGTCAAACATGGAGGTGGAAACATTATGCTTTGGGGGTGTTTTTCTGCTAAGGGGACAGGACAACTTCACCGCATCAAAGGGACAATGGACGGGGCCATGTACCATCAAATCTTGGGTGAGAACCTCCTTCCCTCAGCCAGGGCATTGAAAATGGGTCGTGGATGGGTATTCCTGAGTGGCGCAGTGGTCTAAGGCACTGCATCGCAGTGCTAACTGTGCCACTAGAGATCCTGGTTCGAATCCAGGCTCTGTCGCCGCCGGCCGCGACCGGGAGACTCATGGGCGGTGCACAATTGGCCCAGCGTCGTCCAGGGTAGGGGAGGGAATGGCCGGCAGGGATGTAGCTCAGTTGATAGAGCATGGCGTTTGCAACGCCAGGTTTGTGGGTTCGATTCCCACGGGGGGCCAGTATAAAAAAAATATGTATTCCCTAACTGTAAGTCGCTCTGGATAAGAGCGTCTGCTAAATGACTAAAATGTAAAATGTATTCCAGCATGACAATGACCCAAAACACACGGCCAAGGCAACAAAGGAGTGGCTCAAGAAGAAGCACATTAAGGTCCTGGAGTGGCCTAGCCAGTCTCCAGACCTTAATCCCATAGAAAATCTGTGGAGGGAGCTGAAGGTTCGAGTTGCCAAACATCAGGCTCGAAACCTTAATGACTTGGAGAAGATCTGCAAAGAGGAGTGGGACAAAATCACTCCTGAGATGTGTGCAAACCTGGTGGCCAACTACAAGAAACGTCTGACCTCTGTGATTGCCAACAAGGGTTTTGCCACCAAGTACTAAGTCATGTTTTGCAGAGGGCTCAAATACTTATTTCCCTCATTAAAATGCAAATCAATTTATAACATTTTTGACATGCGTTTTTCTGGATTTTTTTGTTGTTATTCTGTCTCTCACTGTTCAAATAAACCTACCATTAAAATTAGACTGATCATTTCTTTGTCAGTGGGCAAACGGACAAAATCAGCAGGGGATCAAATACTTTTTTCCCTCACTGTACCATTGTTATAAGGTCAGTATGCTTATACATTTAAACATCTTAGAAATGTACGATTTCATTAAATTGTAGCTATGACATAATATACCTAATATAATTAATTTAATAAATAAAATATGTTTCTTTTTTTATATGTTGTACTGCGTGGTGGCTGAAACCATTCTCCCAGTGCTGTGCTGTCTTTTCTACCCACATGTCCTGTGCCTGTCCAACTGTATAGGCCAGCTGAGGGCAGATTCTCAATGGGACAGAGAGAAAAATAAAGATTAAGAGAGAGATTACGTGAGAATGTGGGAAGGAGGGAGTGAGTTAGAGAGACAGAAAGACAGTTTGGGTGTATGAGACAGGGCCATGGCCTGGTGGGGATGAGAGGGTCTCTCTCTCCAGGTCTAGTCTGTGCCGTTCTTGGGGGCGTTTGGGTTGACTGGCTGCTGGCCATCCTTGCGTGGGGGCATCCTCTCGTTGACTTTGTCCAGGCTCTGTGCCTCCGCAAAGTCCTTGATCTTCCTTGTGGGAGAGAAGCCTTGAATGGCTGGACGGAAGAAATGAAAGACAGAGGGACAATTAGAAATCAAAGGAAACAATGCTTTGAATGCTTCAACTTTAATTGTTCGTGAAAAATAGTTAGCGATCTATACTGAACAAAAATATAAACGCAACAATTTCATTGACTTCACTGAGTTACAGTTCATATGAGCAAATCAGTCAATTGAAATAAATTCATTAGGTCCTAATCTATGGATTTCACATGACTGGGAATACAGATATGCATCTGTTGGTCACAGATACCTTAAAAAAATGGGCCTCAAGATCTCGTCATGGTATTTATGTGCATTCAAATTGCCATCGATAAAATGCAATTGTGCTCGTTGTCTGTAGCTTATACCTGCACATACCATAACCCCACCACCACCATGGGGCAGTCTGTTCACAACGTTGACATCAGCAAACCGCTCAACCACTCGACGCCATACACGTGGTCTGGGGTTGTGAAGCCGGTTGGACGTACTGCCAAATTCTCTAAATCGGCGTTGGAGGCGGCTTATGGTAGAGAATTTAACATTCAGTTCTCTGGCAACAGCTCTGGTCGACATTCCTGCAGTTAGCATGCCAATTGCACGCTCCCTCAAAACTTGAGACATCTGTGGCATTGTGTTGTGTGACAAAACTGCACATTTTAGAGTGAGTGGCCTTTTATTGTCCCCAGCACAAGGTGCACCTGTGTAATGATCATGCCGTTTAAATCAGCTTCTTGATATGTCAAACCTGTGAGGTGGATAGATTATCTTGGCACAGGAGAAATGCTCACTCACAGGGATGTAAACAAATTTGTGCACAACATTTGAGAGAAATAAGCTTTTGTGCCTATTGGAAAATGTCTGCGATTTTTTATTTCAGCTCATGAAACATGGGACCAACACTTTACATGTTGTGTTTATATTTTTGTTTAGTATATTTTAAGGATCTGCAATAAGGAATTGCAGGTAAAACCTGCAAAATGAACCCATTTAGAGCTTTTTTAAGCACATTTTCTCAGTTTTGCCTTGATTCGGTCAAATTGTATGTCCTTAGTGAACTCCAGGTTATTTTGTTACCAAATGCAGGTAATAGCTGACAGTCCTTAGACTGAAAACAGTGCAGACATACAGATGTACATTGAATACACAGAAAAACAGCAAGTCGAATGGACAGAAACACTGTACTGTTGGCAAAACCACTGAACAAGCTACAACATCTCTCAGTGAATGTGAGACTTACTGTAACATTCCAAGTGCCAAGGAGAAACCACAAAGAAAACATGGGCAAACCAGAGATATACAGTAAGTAACTATTCAAAAAATGTTTGAAATATTTCAAAAAATTTGAACATTTAGAATAACAGGAAAATAACACCCTAAAATGGTAGTTTTAGAGTTGATTTTAGGATAATGTGATCTACAAAACTGCACTCATAGAAATGGGCACTCTTGCACAACCAGAGATCTGCAGTTTTAACTAACAGCTGAAGTGGCACAAACACCTCAACACTTCTCTTAACATCAGTGAGAAATGAATCATTGTAAGGCAAACAGTGGTACTTAATAGGTGAGTGGTACTTAAAACATGCTCTGATAAACATAATATCAATATCATTTGACAGAAACCAAACTACCTATACTACTTCAAAATGTGCATGCGGTCAAAGAGAGTATCTGAGTGCTAAGATAGTAATGTGTCAACAGGAGCAGACATTGACAGTATCAACAGCTAAGCAGCATAACAGGATTAGACTGAAAATATCCCTGGATAGCCAGGAGGTGGTAGGTTCTATCTGAGCTCTACCTCCACAAATGTTTTCATGGCTCGCTTGCCCCTCTGCAGCAGACATATGGTGAGCAATATGTTTGGAACATCAAATCGCAATACATATCGGCACCTAAGCATCGTGATAATATTGTATCGTGAGGTCCCTGGCAATTCCCAGCCCTAATCTCCATTGAGCCTCCCTAGGCTATCAGAGTCTTCGCTGGCTTTGCTCAGGGACCAGCTGCCTGGACCAGTGGCAAGGAACCCAGCTACCTCGGCTCTCACCCATGTGGCCTCTGCCAACAGATGTTTGTCTACAAGTCACTGCTAGGACTAATGTCTGACTCTCTGTATCTGTAACTACAGTATATCTATCTGTGAAAACTGTTTAGGCTTTGCCTTTATGTTATCATGGTCCACATCGTGTAAAGCCCCTAGGAATAATGTAACTCTCAGGTGCATGTTGAGGTTCAAGTTAAAGTCTTTCCTGCCAAATGGAGAGCCCCCTGCTTGGGCATTTGAGTCCTGTCATGTACACTACATGACCAAAAGTATGTGGACACCTGCTCGTCGATCAAGTTCTTCCACACCTATCTCAACAAACCATTTCTGTATGGAAATTGTTTTGTGCACGGGGGCATTGTCATGCTGAAACAGGAAAGTGCCTTCACCAAACTGTTGCCACAAAGTTGGAAGCACATAATCGTCTAGAATGTCATTGTGTGCTGTAGCGTTAAGATTTCCCTTCACTGGAACTAAGGGGCCTGAACCATGAAAAACAGCCCTAGACCATTAATCCTCCTCCCCCAAACTTTACAGTTGGCACTATGCATTGGTACAGGTAGCGTTCTCCTGGCATCTGCCAAACTCGGATTCGTCCGTTGGACTGCCAGATGGTGAAGCGTGATTCATCACTCCAGAGAACTGGTTTCCACTGCTCCAGAGTCCAATGGCGGTGAGCTTTACACCACTCCAGCCGACGCTTGGCATTGCGCATGGTTGTCTTAGGCTTGTGTGCGGCTGCTCGGCCATGGAAACCCATTTCATGCAGCTCTCAACTAACATTTATTGTGCTGGATTTTCTTCCAGAGGCAGTTTGGAACTCTGTAGTGAGTGTTGCAACAGAGGACAGGTGATTTTTACTTGCTATGCGCTTCAGCACTTGGCGATTCCGTTCTGTGAGCTTGTGTGGCCTACCACTTCGCGGCTGAGCCATTGTTGATCCTAGACGTTTCCACTTCACAATAACAGCACCTAGTTGACCGGGGCAGCTCTAGCAGGGCAGAAATTTTACGAACTGACTTGTTGGAAAGGTGGCATCCTATGACGTTGCCAAGTTGAAAGTCACTGAGCTCTTCAGTACGGGCCATTCTACTGCCAATGTTTGTCTATGGAGATTGCATGGGTGTGTGCGCATTTTATACACCTGTCAGCAACTGGTGTGGCTGAAATAGCTGAATCCACTAATTTGAAGGGGTGTCCACATACTTTTTTATATATAGTGTATGTTGAGTAGTAGCAGGCACTGGTAATGCAAGAGCAGCCATTTTGCAAAGTACACCAATCCATGACACACACACACAGTGCACGTACAACAAGAATAACAAAAGGAACATTTAAAAAGTCACAAAAACAGGAGTGCACAGAAAATTTAAGGCGGGCCCCATTTGAAAGGTTAAAAGTTACACAACAAGGACAACACACACTGAGGGAGGGATCCGGGGACCGCTTGCGTACCTTTGGCCTCCGCGGCCTCAGCGGCAGCTATGTCAATGTGAGTAGTGGTGAGAAGGAGAAAAGTGAGTCATCAATGCAGAGAACCAGATAACATCAATCACAGAACAGACAGTAAGAGCCAACCAACCAGGAATACAGGTTATACATGCTTCTAAAGGCTACTTACAGAGAGACGGTACCATTCAAATACACCTCAAACACTTTTCAGTGTGATAAAAGAGAGTCTGCGTCCTTATTATTTTAGGACTAGGAGCACCCACAAGGCTCTGGTCAACAGTAGTCCACTATAGGGAACAGAGTACCATTTAGGACACACCCAGAGAGAGAGCGGCCTGCAGAAGATCTAGGATGGTGCTGGCTGCTGTTAAATGGTCATGAGGGCTTAGATGTGGACGGACAGAGAGATGAGGGTGATTTTTAAGAGCAGTGAGCAGGCCTCTTATTGGGTTATTCTGGATCTTGTCATGGGAACATAATCGAATGATGAAGTCTGCTGGGAGGAGAAGGGAACTGATTTCCTGTGAAGTCAATTAAGGCCCCTTGCTACATCTCACACACATCACATCGTCTTAATGAAGTGTGTTTAGGCTCAGTTCTCAAAGGAACACGTGTGATGATGACAACTGTGGTGAGATGACAGGTTTAATCTTTCTATTCAACTTGTTCTTAATGGAGGTGCTCTGTTACTGGTGTCACTCTCAGAATAACACATGGTGAATCTAGCTCAAAGACCATAACAGAGGGCTGAATAGAATAGCTAAAGTAAGGCATTTCCCTCTTTAGTTTTCAAAGAGAACTGTCACTGCAGTCAAACCGGCTCAGCATTCCCCTAAATGTCACCAGAGCACTGTCAGGTAGCAGTGAAGACATACAACAAACAGGGGATGTAATGAACCAGAACACACATCCTATCCAGGGTTTTAACTTGGCCAGCCAGCCCAGCCACCTCAATGTTAAAGCCTTGGTCTGACTGGAGGGGCGACAGACACAGGGTGCTTCCCAATTACTAATAGGGGTCTGGTCATAAGTAGTGCACTCTATTGTGAATAGGATGCCATTTGGCACGCAGAAAAAGACAGACAATGGCATTCTGGTAAAGGTCACGTCATGTGGTTTCTCTCTGAGTGCTCACAGCTTTGTGGCTCCGTTCACTACACCTCCGCCTCGCCTGGGAGGAGACCAGCACCCAACATGCCCTTCTCTCCTTCCTGCTGACAGGCCAGGTGTGTGTGTGTTCCCCCACTGGCTGGGCTGGTTGACCTTTAGATCAGGGCTACGGCCACATCAGTGACAGGCGGCTCCGATCTGACCCCCCGCACGCCCGCCCACAGCTCAGTCCCCCTCCCCCTCTACCCCACGGGGACGGCTGGCTTGATACAGAGCCCCAGACAGACAAAGGTTGTGTCCCAAATCACAACATATTCCCTTTATAGTGACCAGTGTGGCCCATAGTAGCCCAGTGAGCTAGTGGAGTGAGGGCAGCCGTCTAACATGATGTTCATCTACTGTATATTAACAAAGACCACGTGTAGGCTTCAGCGGCAGTGATGGTTTCCATCTCCACTGCATCATGGAAGACGGAAAGCAGAAGAGCAGGATCTATTATGTTTTTTCCAAAGTGAACTTATGTAAAAATGCAAAAACATTGAGCGAACTGTACATCCTTCAGTTTACTGTGTGGCTGGGGTAAGGCTGTGTCGTTAGTGCAGGGAGAAATGACAGTGTTAATGGCATGACACCCCAGGGCCCTCATGACACCCCAGGGCCCTCTGAGGGTAAGGCATGGGGGACTGGTGGAGCTGGGGGCATCAGAGAGAGAGAAAGAAGGACAGAGACAGCAGGGTGAGGGAGGAGAGGGGAGGGTGAGGGAGGAGAGGGGTGGGTGAAAGAGACTTACCGGTCTGCAAGGTCTGTTTGCCCCCTGATAACACTCCTAGAGGCAGCGACCCAGTGGGGGTCAGTCCTTTGAGTGTCAGCACACTCTCACTCTCCTCCCTGAAGAGCGAGAGAGGAGAGAGAGAGAGAGGAGAAACACCTTAGAGATCCAACAAAGCTTTCAGTAACTACATCCGTTAAAAACACTCCTCATTTCTGTTCATACTGAGCTGTAGCTACTGTAGCATCGCATGATATCCCTGTATATGGGCCACTGTGAAAGACAGAAATAGGCCTACATATAGAACACGTGGATTATATGATCTCTGTGCTGATCTGCATCTCCCTTTCCCCATTGCATTTGTGTGGCAGGCCAATGTCATTACACAGCCTCACCACGTGCTGTGTTGTGACTGTTGCCTGCTCATTAATCCTCATGGGGAAGCAGCACTGTGTTTTCAAACATGACTTCATTGTGCACTCAACTGACTTCAGTCATGTCATGAACTAGACTCAAGTCTAAACTAAAAATAGACTTCAGTCTACTCCCAACCTCAACCCAATTCACTCCAAGTCTGACTTTTGCTTTTTTTTTATGTGACGCAAGGTCTTGAGTCTTTGGGTGTGTCTGAAATGGCAAACTATTCCCTAAAGTGTACTGCTTATGGCGAAAGCCCTTTGGCACTGGTCAAAAGTAGTGCACTATACAGGAAACCGGGTGCAATTTGGGACACAATTTACGCTGTCAGGTGTGATGCTGAGAGAGAGAATGTCTCACCTGAGAACAGAGAAGACTCTGGCCATCTTCCCGATGGCTCGGATCTTATTCCGAATCACCTCTTTGCGTACTGCTGGGATTCCACCGTCTTCTCATAAAATACAAGAAAAATAATATCCTAAGCATTTGGTTGTTGGAGATTTCATATTGCATTGTAATGGTTTCTACCGTTTACATACACTGAGTCTACAAAACAAAACATTAGTCCATGCCCTGACGAATTGAGGCTGTTCTGAGGGCAAAAGGGTGTGCAAATCAATATAGGAAGGTGTTCTTAATGTTTTGTACACTCAGTGTAGTCTGACATTATCATAGGGAAGAGATAAGGACAGTGGGGAAAAGTAAGGGAGCCAAAGGGGAGGAGGGGGGAGGGGAGGAGGAGAGCTCTGTCAGATCTCCAGGGAGTCCTGAGATCTCCGAGCTGAACTCCAGACATATGAGAGACTGTGTTTCTGACTGTGCTATTATGACATGCTGTGGATAAACCAGCTACCAGCTTTACCTTCTTAACACTCTAGAGATAATGTGGAGGTGTGTGTGCGTGTATGTGCGTGTGACAAAGAGATAGTGTTGGGGGTTGAAGTGCCTCATTAAAAACAGAAGGGCTGCTTTGCTTTTAATTGTATGTTAACCCAGGTGTACGTTTTGCACCCTGTGGGCCAGCGGGGGTTAAATCCTGGCTGTGCCTCTTACCTTCACACAGGTCGTCTCCTTCCGACATGAGCTCATCATCAGAGCAGATGTTCAGCACGTTCACCAGCATCTCTGTCACTGTGGGGAGGGGAGAGGAGGCACCACTACAACTCAGATTAGCACCACCACCAAAACAGTCTTTGCTGCATCTTTTTGAGTGCAGACCTATTACGCTAGAATGTGCCAATGCTCATTTCTGGCATTCTACTCCGCATTCTTAACTCTGAAACAACACCGAGTTGGGACGGCGACCACGTGCATACCTTTCTCTCCAACAAAGGGCAGAGACCATGTGAAGACGTCCATGAAGTTGGGCAGCCAGTAGGGGTGGGGGGAGCAGTTAAACTGACGAATGTTCATCACATTGTTCTCATACTTTAATACAGCAGCTGGAAGTCAGAGCAAGAAGAACAAATTAATGATCAACTTAGCCATTCTGACAAACTAAATGTATCACTGGCAAAAGTAGCACTTGTTACACATTGGCAAATTGTTGTCATATTTTGGAGACCGCCCAAGTAGACCTGGAGAGGCAGAATTAAGGCCAGACCGAGAAGAGGGGAATGCCAATCCCAGCCAATTGGCAAAACAGCTATACAACACTATGCATAAAAACAAATCCACACAGATCACTGTCTTGATATAAGGAGTATGCAAACCTTTGTTGTTATACACATCTAGGTAATTTGGTGCTGAGAAGATTGTAATTAATGAAGGAAAGCCTGTAGTCTGGCTTTTTCTGTACATACGATACCTGGGATGAGAAAGACAAAATGACTTAAGTTTGACAACACAATAGTGGAGTGCAGAAAATGACTTATGTAATATTAAGTGATAAAAAAAAGAGTGAAACGTACCCTGCATCCTGTGCTTCGTGTGCTCTTATTACCGACAACAAGTTATTATTTATCAGAAAGTCACATACAGCCGGGTAACTGCAAGGCAAGACGGAGAGAAAACCCCCAGCCTATTAGAACAGCCAGTGGAATAAAATCTGGACCTCAGAGTCACTCTGGCAACCATGCAATGTGAGATATGACAGATTATTTGAGTAACACCATTAGAAGCGTTCTCTGGCAGTTCTTTACTTTTGGAAATACATTTAGAATCCCAGTCAGTCTCTTGCCCTCTGGCCTGGGAGGTAGGCAGGGATAATGAACTAGTGAGGCCAGAGTAGAGCAGAGCAGGGCCAAGGCTGTGGTATTTATGGGTTCTGATAGCTGCTCCAGAGGCAGTAAGGAGAACAGGAGGCCACACCTACAGCCAGAGATCCGTCCCAAATGGCACCCTATATAGTGCACTACTTTTGACCAGGGCTCTATAGGGAATAGGGTGCCATTTGGGACGGATCTTGATGTGGCTGCTGGGCTGGCTTTTACTCCCGAGTGGCGCAGCGGTCTAAGGCACTGCATCTCAGTGCTTGAGGCGTCACTACAGACCCCCTGGTTCGATTCCAGGCTGTATCACAACCGGCCGTGGTTGGGAGTCCCATAGGGCAGCGCACAATTGGCCCAGTGTCATCCGGGTTTGGCCGGTGTAGGCCGTCATTGTAAATAAGAATTTGTTCTTAACTGACTTGCCTAGTTAAATAAAAGGTTAAATAAAATTAAAATAAATGACTGGGGTTTATATGACCCCGCTCCACCTCTCCTATCCTCAGAGACCGGTCAGTCAATTAGCGGGCCACCTGAATTTAGTTAGCATCCGTGGAACAAACCTATGCCATCTGGAAAAGTCAACAGTGTACAGAGATATAGGCTAGTAAAGCTGGGGAGACAATGCACTGGCGCTGTCAATACCTTATAGTCCACTCACAAACTGTACGATTTGGATTTATTAAGGATCCCCATTGGCTGCAGCTACTCTTCCTGTATGGAACGTCGTTTGGGTCTTTGTGTGTCAAAAAAGATACGTCAAATAACACTATTTGAAGTTTCAAATAAGCTTGTTGACCAATCAGGACCTGAATATGTCTGCACGTCACATAATATTTTAAGGCGTTCATAAATTGTTTACGTAGTTATTACACATTGATTACACTATCACAACGATTCATCGATACGTTTGCTATGACGCTGGTAAAGTTCTCGTGCACACACGGTGATGTCATTAAAAAAGCTAGCTAGCTGATGGATGCAAACAATGTTATTCCCCAAAAACATAGCAAAATGACAATCTGTTTCAGTAGCTATAGTTAGTTAGCTATCTAGCTAGGTGTAATCATCTAAAATAACCCTAATTTTTAAGACAGTTCTTATTTGATTCATGGTGGTCGGACCCATCTATGTGAACCTAGCCACAATAAAGATTTGCCACAATAGTGGACTTTGCAGTTAGCCTTCAAAATAAACGTATGTAATTGACAGTGATGCAAATGAATACAAGTAGTAGAATTATGCCATAATTGAATAGATCATGCTAAACGAAGTTGGAATGTTATATAAAATCAACAAAAGACAATTTGTTAATTTGACAAAAATCTGTTCAAATCACACTGGATGTATTATACTTTAGAATTGCATTGGATGCATACTTATTTCACTGTACAGCCTTACATATGGACTGTGGATCAATGACATGGGGTATCAGTCTACTCGGTGACACCCAGAGAACATTAATGTCGTAGCTCTTATTGCGGGACTCCGAAACAACTGAATTGAGACATTTATTGTACCAGTCAACCTACTATGTGTATTGAACAGTATTCCAGAGGAAAAACAATACAACATGGTGTTTTGGAGTCTGATAACTCTGAGGACGACGTTGGGAAAAAAGCACTTGGGTACTGAGTAGACTGATACCACATTTCATTCATCCCAAATCCTTAAGTAAGGCTGTACTGTGCAATATGAATGTCAATACGCACAATAGGCTGACTGGGGAGGTGATTTCCCACAGCCAAAGTCCTGCAATAAGAGCTACGACACTAATATTTACAAACTCTTCACAGTTGTGTTCTGTGGGTGTCACCGAGTAGACTGATACCACATTTCATTGCTCCACATTACAACACTCCAACCTTGTTTAACATTATCTAGTCTAAATATGGCATGTTTCCACCCATTGTAACCTTCTGCATTACTTTCAAATGGGGACTTTTATTTTGAAGGCGAAACGCAAATTCCACTATTGTGGCTAGCTTCACAACACATAACTTGGTCTGGTCAAGCCATACTTGCCAGATGAAGCTAGCTGGCTGCTTATAACGTTAGTTTTGGGCAACGGGGTTAAGTAACTGGCTACCGAGTTACTTCAATAGGAGAACAAGTGGCTACCTAGCTAATACTTACTCAAATGGATTCCTAAATCATTGCTAAGAAAATTGAAAATGACTGCAGTTTCTACTGGTCATTGTTTTCAGGCTGGTTGCATTGGTGCTAGCTAGGTACCAAGCTAAAGCTAGCTACCCCAGAAGTTGCTATTAACATCTGTATCAAAGATATTTGCAAACATTTTTGATCCTGCTCGTTTGATCCTGATCTAATTTCAAATGCTCACACAAACGTTTTCCCATTCGGTCGAACAAATAATGCCTTATTACCAGCGCAGTATTGTACAGCTTTGACAGTGATCGTAATGGTGGCGCTTGGCTTGCACGTGCAAATTCAGCACACACAGCATTCTATAATAGAATTGTGTTATTTGACGTGTTATTTGACGCAAAGACCCAAACGGTGTTCCATATTCCCGGGGTCAAGCAACATTAAGGAAGTGAAATACAATATAACATTACATTTCATAACACATTAAGTGTGTTCCCTCAGGCCACTACTCCACTACCACATATCTACAATACAAAATCCATGTGTACGTGTCTAGAGTCTTATCATGTGTATGTGTAAGCGTGTCTGTGCCTGTCTGTGTGTCTCTTCACAGTCCCTGCTTTTCCATAAGGTGTATTTTTATCTGTTTTTTAAATCTGATTCTACTGCTTGCATCAGTTACCTGATGTGGAATAGAGTTCCATGTAGCCATGGCTCTACGTAGTACTGTGCGCCTCCCATAGTCTGTTCTTGACTTGGGGATTGTGAAGAGACCTCTGGTAGCACATCTTGTGGGGTATGCATGGGTGTCCGAGCTGTGTGCTAGTAGTTTAAAAAACAGACACCTCGGTGCATTCAGCATGTCAACACTTCTTACAAAAACAAGTAATGATGAAGTCAGTCTCTCCTCCACTTTGAGCCATGAGAGATTTATATGCATATTATTAATGTTAGCTCTCTGTGTACATTTAAGGGCCATCTGTGCTGCCCTGTTCTGAGCCAATTGTCATTTTCAGAGGTCCCTCTTTGTGGCACCTGACCACAACTGAACAGTAGTCCAGGTGCGACAAAACTAGGGCCTGTGTTGATAGTGTAGGTAAAAAGTCAGAGCATCGCTTTATTACGGACAGACTTCTCCCCATCTCAGCTACTGTTGTATCAACATGTTTGACCATGACAGTTTACAATCCAGGGTTACTCAAAGCAGTTTAGTCACCTCAACTTGCTCAATTTCCACATGATTTATTACAAGATTTAGTTGAGGTTTAGGGTTTAGTGAATGATTTGTCCCAAATACAATGCTTTCAGTTTGAAATACTTAGGACTAACCATTCTGAAACTAACTGCAGCTCTTTTTTAAGTGTTGCAGTGATTTCACTCGCTGTAGTAGCTGATGTGTATAGTGTTGAGTCATCCGCATACATAGACACACTGGCTTTACTCAAAGTGGCAAGTCGTTAGTAAAGATTGAAAAAATTAAAGGGGCCTAGACAGCTGCCCTGGGGAATTCCTGATTCTACCTGGATTATGTTGGAGAGGCTTCCATTAAAGAACACCCTCTGTGTTCTATTAGACAGGTAACTCTTTATCCACAATATAGCAGGGGGTGTAAAGCCATAACACATAGGTTTTTACAGCAGCAGACTATGATCGATAATGTCAAAAGCCGCACTGAAGTCTAACAAAACAGCTCCCACAATATTTTTATCAATTTCTCTCATCAGTCATTTGTGTAAGTACCGTGCTTGTTGAATGTCCTTCCCTATAAGCGTGCTGAAAGTCTGTTGTCAATTTGTTTACTGTAAAATAGCATTGTATCTGCTCAAACACCATTTTTTCAAAAAGTTTTTGTAACAGGCTGATTGGTAGCTATTTGAGCCAGTAAAGGGGGCTTTACTATTATTGGGTAGCGGAATTACTTTTGCTTCCCTCCAGGCCTGAGGGAACACACTTTCTAGTAGGCTTGGATTGAAGAGATGGCAAATAGGCATGGCAATGTCATCCGCTATTATCCTCAGTAATTTTTCATCCAAGTTGTCAGACCCCGGTGGCTTGTCATTGTTGATAGACAACAATCATTTTTTCACCTCTTCCAGACTCACTTTATGAAATTCAAAATTACAATGCTTGTCTTTTAAATCAGTTATACTTGGGTGTGTAGTGTTAGCGTTTGTTCTATCATGCAGACCTATCCCTGGATCCTCAGAGGATATGGAAACTATTCAAGTGGCAAACAGTATTATTTGATTTCATTGGTCAGTATTATTGACCATTTAATATTTTTCTTATCCATCTGAAACTGGACACATTGAGCTGAACTAGTACCGTACCTGAAAAAGTAGGAGCAGCCTCGCACTGAGTTGTGGTTGAAGTGTTCTGCTGTCTTTTCACTGCCGTAGTCCTCTCCTGGGTCAGCCCAGATCAAGTCACACATAGGGCCGAAAGCTGGAGGCTCCTTAAACCTGTCTAACTGCGGAGCGCGCACACACAAACAGCACCGTGAGTCACAGAAAACTGATTGATCACAGATTAAAAATCAATCAAATTTATCCACACTTGGTTTTGTAGTCAAACGTGGACTCAAACACCACTTTCTCATCAGGTGCCATGTGAACTTACTTTCCTAATGTCGTCTAGGCAGTTGATTTCTGGGGAGAGACCGCCGTGTACACACAGGAACTGTTGGTTGAGGAGAGCAGCGAGGGGCAGGCAGTCAAAGGCCTCCATGCAGGCATCATACACGCGCTCAGAGTACTTAATCTTACCTAAATATGGAACAGGTGAGACAAAACTAAACTTCAAAATTGCTTTCAGAGAGAAACTACTAGCGCTAGTTAAACACTTGATAAGACAGTACCACATTAATTATCACTGAGATCAAGCTAAGCGTGTCTACATGCCAAAATAACTGTTAGTAGGAAGTAGTCTCAATTAGCTATAGCCTGGTATTTCAGAGGGTTTCGTTGTTTTGTTCTTCTGCCTTTAGTAGCAACAGCATACATGTAGTGGCGGCACATACTTCACACAGGTCCTTTGGGCCTAGTAACCTACATATGTTCAACCACTATCTTAACAGTTACTGGCTACACCGCAGCAGATGTTGTGTCCTCCTAGATAATTGCTTAAGCTTCTTTACTTCAGGCCTAAGACAACTTTCATCAGATTGAGTATAATTTGTCTTGCACAACACTTAACACAGGTCAGATTAACTGACTGACTTGAGGAAGTGAAGTCCATATAAGGCGAGAGAATGGCAGTGATTCTGATTAGGCCAGTAAATTAGGAACAGTTAGTTCTGCCTAACAACAAACCTCCCTTCCCCTCTCATTAACTAGTCCAACGAATGCCCCAAATTACAATGCTTAGTGCTGGACAGGAGCCACTATCATTGAGAGTCCAAGGAAAGCAAGATAATCTGTGAGTACCTGGGTTGAGAGAGAGAAGCATTCAAAATATTCTAAAGTAGCGAAGGTAGAGAGCACCACACCGCACTCCCTTCATTTGGCCTTCAGGGTTTGAAATCAGTTTATATGGAACTCATGTTTCCTGATATGGTTAAAATGTTCAGAGGCCTGTCTAGGAGCACAGAAAGGAATTAAATCGATTAGTTACCGGAGTGTAACTCCAGTTCTATGAGTGGAGCGGAGCCCCATAGGGGAGCTCTGCTCCTATTGGTTTACCCTCTGCCCTAAGGCAGCATCAGCCTGAGACAAAATTATGCACACACCTACAGCCAATAGGAGTACAGGTGTCCCTATAAGAGGGGATGCCTCCCCTCAATCAGCCTCCCGAGATATTTTTCTTCAGCGAGACTAGAGAGGGTCGGCAGGGCCTTAAGTCCTATGGGGCTCCGCTCCACTCATAGAACTGGAGTTACACTCCGGTAACTAATCGTTCTATATCGTGGAGCTCCGCCCCATAGGGGAGCTCTGCTCCTATTGGTTTAAGGCGGAGCGTAGCGCTCCAAAATGTACTCCCTGCCGAGCCCAACACTTCCCATCGAAACGAAAAAGGTCAGGCCTAGCAATGGCTGCGACCAAGTCCCGCAGTACTGCAACTAAAAACCCTTACGGGCGTCACAATATACCGCGTCATCGGTTAAAGACCCGCCCCACCTAGTCCAATGGCAATGCCAATGACTAGTGGGCAGATCACCAGAATAGAAGCCATACTACTCTGTACTAGCAGATAGATGTGCCTCAATATCCTGTGAAAACACTACCGACCACTAATGGAATGACACAAAGTGTCACTCTACATTGTGAACGCGGTAGACCGCCCCACTCACTCAATGGAATCCCAAGATTAGTGGGCAGGAACAAAACATGAGTCATACTAAACTGAACAAGCAGATAGATGACCTCACATTCTGTCAATCAACGCATGCCTCTACTGTACTGAACCTGTCAGTCAGGAGTCATGCCACAAAATATGTTGTTTTCTTATCCAAAGCGGACCTGATGGAAACCTTGTCCATAGTCCTGCTTTTTCCTCTCTTCCTAGCTCAAGATCTCCCTTCAGCTATGCTGAGTACAGACCGAGCCAAAGAGTTAGAAAACACATCTGTCAAAAACACGTCTTCCTAACCAAAGCGGACCTGATGGAAACCTGTGTCCACAGTCCTGCTTCTCCTCTCTTTCTTGCTCAAGATCTCCCTTCAGCCACGCTGAGTACAGATCGAGCCAGAGAGTTAGAAGACATATCTAAGAGATAGAAACGGATAAATGGAGACGGCGTCGACCAGGATGCTGCTCTACAGATATCCTCTACCCCTGTTCCTCTGAAAAGGGCAGTAGAAGCCGCTACTCCACGAGTGGAGTGAGCTCTGATACCCTGAGGCAATTGCCGCCCTGCTGCCTCATAAGCTGTCTCAATGCCTTCACAAAGCCAGTGAGACAACCTCTGTTTTGAAAGTGGTCTACCTAGTGCAGCCGCACCGTGACACACAAACAACTGAGGCGATGACCTAATCGCTGCTGTGCGCTCGACGTAACACGCCAAAGCGCGTACCGGGCACAGGCGATGGAGCTTTTCCTCACTCCTCTCTCTATGAGGAGGAGGAGAAAAAGCCCACAGCTCCACGGTCTGTGACCTATATGAACTCTTAATAACCTTCGGCACAAATGCCGGGTTAGGACGTAACACTGCTCTGCTCAGGTCACCATTGATGGCCAAGCAGTCAGGTCTCGTCGAAAGAGCACACAAATCACTGACCCGCTTAGCTGTAGTCAAAGCGAGCAACAGTGCTGTCTTTATAGACAGCATCTTGAGGGGTATTTGATTCAATGGCTCGAACGGCGACTTACATAGCGCTTCGAGTACCAAAGCCAAATCCCACTGAGGAAGCGTGACTCTAGGTGTTGGCCTAAGTCGCCGCGTTCCTAATTGGAAGCGTTTCACTAGAGGGTGGCTAAAGACATTGTCTCTGCCAAAACCCTCATGACAAGCTGAAATCGCTGCTGCAAACACTCTAATCGTGGCAGGCGATTTTTGCTTATCAAACATGAGCTGTAGAAAAGAGAGAATACTCTCCACCTGACAGCTCATGGGGTCTACACCTTGTGTGACACACCATCGTGAAAACACGTTCCATCTACTGGCATACATCTTAGAAGTGGAACTGGCACGTGAACCCTGTATGGTCCTGATCACTGCATCAGATAACCCACGGCGCTCTAGCCTGTCCCTCTCAGCAGCCAGGCCTTCAGTGGTTGGCCGATTATGGGCAATTTCCCTATCATGCCACCCGCCTGAGACAACGCGTCCCGTCGATGTGGAATTGGCCAAGGTGGCGCAATCAACATCTGACTCATCTCCGCAAACCAAGGAGCCCCCGGGTGATCGGGCGCTATCAGTATCACTGACAGCCCCCCTGACCTCACCCTGGCTAGCAGTGGGAGAATGCAGGACAGCGGAGGGAATGCATACAGGAGAACTCTCGGCCACGGTTGGTGCGCAAAGGCATCCCTTCCCAGTGGCGGTTCGTCCTGTTCCCTCAGAGAGAACCACAGAGGACATTGCGCGTTCACGCGTGACGCGAATAGGTCCACCTCGGCTCTCCCGAATTGTTCCCAAATCTGGAGAACAATGTCTGGATGCAGACACCACTCGTCGTCTCGAGGACCCCCTCTTGACATGAGGTCTGCTCCTACGTTCAAGTAGCCCGGAATGTGTGCTGCTCTCAATGAGCGAAGGTGCTCGTGAGCCCACAGCCACAATTCCTCTGCCGCCCGATGGAGAGCAGGAGACCTGACTCCTCCCTGGCGATTTATGTGGGCTACTGTGGTCCGGTTGCCAGCTCTGTCTTGCCCGTGGTTAAACGGGACAGAGAGGCCGCCAAGAGGGCAATGTTGTTAGCTGCTGCTACAGCTTGGGCTCCCAACCCAAAGGACTTCTCTAACAGCGACGCTGTGAGTCGGTCCTTGTGGGATGGCAACGTGGCCTTCTTGGAAGAGGGCCAAGGGCTCGAACCCGGTACGAGATACGCCGCCATGGCGCTCTCTAACCTGGGGATTCCCTGACCCTGGAACCTTCCTTCCACTCTCGTGAATGGGAGATACGCTTTTACAGGCGAACGCGCCGCTAAAGGTGCCTCCCACGAGCCCTCAACGTATCTAGCCAAAGAAGGCATGGCAGGAGCCACTGGCTCTGCCGCCTTCCTTGGTCTGGAATAAGGACCGCCCTCCATCATATCAACCTCCGGTGCGGAGGGAAGAGGGGGCAGCCTTATCACCAGCCGTTGAGCAGCTCTCTCAATGAGACTCGGAAAATCCGATCTCAGAGAGGCTGCGGCGAAAGAGAAAGCTTCTGATCTCTCAGAGCTCGTATCCCCGTCGCTATAAGGACTACAAGCCCTCTCGCTCTCCAAAGGAAAGGGGGGCTTGAAAGTATGAGGGATGGGGTCCGACTGTTCCATTGGAATGCCAGACTCCTCCTCAAAGTCCTTATCTTCCCCCGAGTCTGCGCCGTCGGACGACGCCTCTGAAGCAGAGGCTAGTATCGACAGCACGTCCTCAAGGGGGATGTCCTCCCTGAAAAACGCCCAACGCTGCTTCCTCTCCTTTAAAGAAAGGAGGGCGCAGGAGGCGCAATTCGGGGGACTGCAGACGCCTTCCTTGGCATGCTGGGATCCCAAACACACGAAACACAGGTCGTGGTGGTCACCGGCCGCCATGGAAGTGCATCTGCACTGAGCTCTGAAAAGAGCTTTTGGGGGTGGAAAATCTCCCGGTGTGCTCATTTAGACGACGTTGATGACTGGAATATCAACGGCGTTTTTTTTTTCGTCCTGAGTCTTGTGCTTCGTCTTTTCTTGGCTCTTCAGTCTAGTCATCCAGTCGCTGAAGAAAAAGGGAGGCTGATTGAGGGGAGGCATCCCCTCTTATAGGGACACCTGTACTCCTATTGGCTGTAGGTGTGTGCATAATTTTGTCTCAGGCTGATGCTGCCTTAGGGCAGAGGGTAAACCAATAGGAGCAGAGCTCCCCTATGGGGCGGAGCTCCACGATATAGAACAGTCTTGCACTAACCCAAAGGCTGAATGACAAACCAAAACAACAGTCTCTGAAATACTAGGGCATTGGCTATAGACTATCTAATTGAATCTACTGCTAAAGATGTGGGGTGATCAAGTGAAAGCCATTCATCTGCCCAAGTAGGGCGATATATCGAATTAATTCGAATGTATGTTTTTGCGCGATATTCCAAATGCCTGTATCGCAAGAATCAAGGTTTTGTTATTTTTCGTTTTTATGAGCGTTTATGTCCGCTTGTTCTCATGTTGTATCTTTGGTCACGTCTCCTTCGCTCCTCTGTGCGTCTTCCCATTTACACCAGAGATCTGTATATAATGACGAGATGCAAGTCTCCACTATAACAACGGGAGTCGTTGTCCCAAAGGCGGGAAGACAGGCGACAAGCTTAGGTCCAAAATAAACCCATAAACACATTGGCCTTATTTTGGACAGATTTTAGCGAGAGTGAAACCTCTCGCTTCGACTCTTACTCTACGGTTTACACACACATCAAGTCCCTCCCCCTGCCTCTCACGGCAACAAAGATGAGAGATCACATCTTCCTCTTTGACAAGCGGTTTCAACTCATTATTTTCATTTGAGGTTTGTTCCAACAGTCGTTCATATGGACACCAAAACACATTGAGACATTATTTTACTGTAATAGAGAAGTTAAAAAGGCTATCGTTAGAAAAGTTGTCTCAACTACTCAAATTGCGCGCAGAGCAGACACTACTAAAACAAGAGTATTAATGAATATTGATTCTGGAAAATGAATTCTCAGTTTGTCGCGTGCGGTACTAGCATCACGTACCGCTAGCATCATTTTAGCAAAATACTGTTATGCTACCTGTGTAGTCTGTTTGCAATAAGCATAAAACAATTATATAAAGGAATTGGCAACTCGTTCTCATTCTGAGAAATAAGTTAGGCCACTTGATTACAACATCTGAACAAAGTGGACAGGCTAACATGCTTTTCAACAATTCAACCTTGTTAGCTAGCAAATAGATCCAAGTTGGCTAAACTTGAAATATAAAGATTAGCTGGCTAATCACTAGCATGTGGGCTTGAGAGATTGTTGATGAGACCTGTGTTAATTTTCTACAGCCTAATGCCTGCTACAAGAAGATAGTCATTATTAGTGAATGTGCATTATGCATGGTTGTAGTTAAATAAATTAAGGGCATTTTCATAGACAGACTTGAAAGCCAGATCAGTGACTGCAACAACAAAAAAAGCAGGTTACACTATTTTGATAAAATAATTACATTATTACTTGGTCTTATGTTTAGTAAAACTTCACATGCCCTGAATTCATTCGATTATTGCAGACTGTTTGAAATGCAGTGTACTTGACCTTTAATTGTACAACGCTTATTTAGAAAACTTTTATTTATTTATTGATACATATATACACACACACAAACACAGTGAGGGAAACAAGTATTGGATCTCCTGCTGATTTTGTACATTTGCCCAATGACAAAGAGATGATCAGTCTATCATTTTAATGGTAGGTTTATTTGAACAGTGGGAGACAGAATAACAAAAAAAAAAATCCAGAACAACGCATGTCAAAAATGTTATGAATTGATTTGCATTTTAATGAGGGAAATAAGTATTTGACCCCTCTACAAAACATGATTTAGTACTTGGTGACAAAACCCTTGTTGGCAATCACAGAGGTCAGACGGTTCTTGTAGTTGGCCACCAGGTTTGCACACATCTCAGGAGGGATTTTGTCCCACTCCTCTTTGCAGATCTTCTCCAAGTCATTAAGGTTTCGAGCCTGACGTTTGGCAACTCGAACCTTCAGCTCCCTCCACAGATTTTCTATGGGATTAAGGTCTGGAGACTGGCTAGGCCACTCCAGGACCTTAATGTGCTTCTTCTTGAGCTACTCCTTTGTTGCCTTGGCCGTGTGTTTTGGGTCATTGTCATGCTGGAATACCCATCCACGACCCATTTTCAATGCCCTGGCTGAGGGAAGGAGGTTCTCACCCAAGATTTGACAGTCCATCGTCCCTTTCATGCAGTGAAGTTGTCCTGTCCACTTAGCAGAAAAACACCCCCAAAGCATAATGTTTCCACCTCCATGTTTGACGGTGGGGATGGTGTTCTTGGGGTCATAGGCAGCATTCTCCTCCTCCAAACACGGCAAGTTGAGTTGATGCCAAAGAGCTCGATTTTGGTCTCATCTGACCACAACACTTTCACCCAGTTCTCCTCTGAATCATTCAGATGTTCATTGGCAAACTTCAGACGGGCCTGTATTTGTGCTTTCTTGAGCAGGGGGACCTTGTGGGCGCTGCAGGATTTCAGTCCTTCACGGCGTAGTGTGTTACCAATTGTTTTCTTGGTGACTATGGTCCCAGCTGCCTTGAGATCATTGACAAGATCCTCCCGTGTAGTTCTGGGCTGATTCTTCACCGTTCTCATGATCATTGCAACTCCATGAGGTGAGATATTGCATGGAGCCCCAGGCCGAGGGAGATTGACAGTTATTTTGTGTTTCTTCCATTTGCAAATAATCACACCAACTGTTGTAACCTTCTCACCAAGCTGCTTGGCGATGGTCTTGTAGCCCATTCCAGCCTTGTGTAGGTCTACAATCTTGTCCCTGACATCCTTGGAGAGCTCTTTGGTCTTGGCCATGGTGGAAAGTTTGGAATCTGATTGATTGATTGCTTCTGTGGACAGGTGCCTTTTATACAGGTAACAAACTGAGATTAGGAGCACACTCTTAAAGGGAGTGCTCCTAATCTCAGCTCGTTACCTGTATAAAAGACTCCTGGGAGCCAGAAATCTTTCTTATTGAGAGGGGGTCAAATACTTATTTCCCTTATTAAAATGTATTCTGGATTTTGTTGTTGTTATTCTGTCTCTTACTGTTCAAATAAACCTACCATTAAAATTATAGACTGATTATTTCTTTGTCAGTGGGCAAACATACAAAATCAGCAGGGGATCAAATACTTTTTTCCCTCACTGTATATATGTGTGTGTATATATATATATATATATATATATAGTGAATCGGTCTTAAGTAAAATAAAAAATCTAGATATAATTTTCAGGCCATATTGCCCAGCCCTATGCCAAAGGTGTGTAAGGATCCCGTAGCTAAACTGTTGTCAGTCACATGAGCTTCTGGCTGACTTCCGGAGAAGAGAGCTATTTTCTTTGTTGTGGTGCCATATTATTTCAATTTTTTTATAATGGATTTAATGGTGCTCCGTGGGATGTTCAAAGTTTTGGATATTTTTTTATAACCCAACCCTGATCTGTACTTCTCCACAACTTTGTCCCTGACCTGTTTGGAGAGCTCCTTGGTCTTCATGGTGCCACTTGCTTGGTGGTGCCCCTTGCTTAGTGGTGTTGCAGACTCTGGGGCCTTTCAGAACAGGTGTATATATACACTGAGATCATTTGACACTTAGATTGCAAACAGGTGGACTTTATTTAACAAATTACGTGACTTCTGAAGGTAATTGGTTGCACCAGATCTTATTTAGGGGCTTCATAGCAAAGGGGGTGAATACATATGCACGCACTACTTTTCCGTTATTATTTTTTTTGAAACAAGTTATTTCTTTTCATTTCACTTCACCAATTTGGACTATTTTGTGTATGTCCATTACATGAAATCCAAATAAAAATCCATTTAAATTACAGGTTGTAATGCAACAAAATAGGAAAAATACCAAGGGGGATAAATACTTTTGCAAGGCACTGTACTAGACATTTTCAGACAGTTTGTTTTACTTTCATCCTGAAGAGAAGAGCAACAAGGATCAGTCGTGCAAACTGCCTCTGCCTGCCTGGCGCTGCTCAATTAGTTTAAATGCATGCTTATGAGTGCATTCAATATAAACAAATTAGACAAGCATCTTTCTTTCCAATGGGTGTTTTTCAATTAAATGCTATTTGCCAATGTTGTGGTTGTCTTTCCTGTCCTGTTTGCCAAAGTGAGATTTGTTTCTTTGCCGATGTTTGCATACTATTGCCTCACACCTGTGCTGCCACTTGAATGCACAGTGCCACCCACACACCACACACACCTACCTACCTCTTCTATAAACAAATTGTGGGTGTGTCAGCTCTCTCAGTGTGTAACTGTCTGAATAACATCAACATGGCTGGCTGCTCTTCATGCCTCTGCAGCTCACTGTCTGTCTGTACCTTGAAGAGGAGACATGGTCTCTATGCATGGATAAAGACATCAGAATGATGAGACGTTACATCTGATGACTGTGACGGACAGGCTTCCTGATGTCTTTGTCTATTACTGAACGGTTGCCAAGCTCATCAGCCACAAATACAACTGCACTAAGGGCAGCAATAGGTCTCAAAGCTAGGGGGAAGAAGGTCCCCTTTAAGCATATACTTTATGTCCCATCTGCTTGCAGAGTAGAGCCAGGTCTGCTACTCTGGTTGGATAGGTCCCTTGATCCCTAAGTAGTACCCTACGGTGTTGCATCACATTAGGCTTGTCCTCATTGGTGTGACCTGCCATGCTGCAGTGACAGTACTTACATTCCTGTTTGAAGGTGAAGTACTCTGTGAGGTGCCGGCACTCATGGTTCCCTCGCAGGAGGAAGAGTGTGGTCGGGTGATTGATCTTGAGTGACCAGAGGTACAGCACACACTGTGAGAGGAGGGAAGGAAGGACAGCGAGAGAGCGAGAGGAGAGAGGACATGAAAGTCAAGAACACAACGCCTGCACATCCTGAATGCCCTAAATGAATTATAAATCACTATACAGTTGGGTTGGGTGGTATCCAGGTATCCGTACAGTCATACCGTTTCTGGACCATACCGGGGTATACGGTATTACCGAATGGGGCGCTATTTCTTTGACGCACAAAACAATTTAGGCAACAGGGATCTTGATCCAGGAGGGGATTGGATGTCTCTGCTGTAACCAAGAAGCTTGATCTTGACATCTAGCCACTTAGCTAGCAAGTTAGCAAACCAAATGCATAGCTGGAGCCCTGAGCTGGATATCATTTATTTGACACATCTTAGATTTCTTATAGTTATAATTAACTTCTAGTTATAAGCAGTGGCTGAGCACGCGCCCCACAGCAATGTTATTGAGTTTAGTGGATAGACCATATGGTTCAAGAGAAAATAGCCTTAATGAAAAAAGCATTAATAAACAATGGCATTATTTTCAATTAACTCTGCAATTCTTCCAACTATGGATTTTTTTCACATCTGCCACCAGTTTGGCGCCAAAACATTTACAACAAAGACATATTGACATAGGTAGTAAAATACACAAGTGTGTAAGGGGTCGCGTTACAGTTCAGAAATCTGCATTTTATATTGAAAAACAGTGTTTATTTGCTTCAATAGAGTGATCAGGGGCATGCAACTAGTTTTCTTCACAGAAAATACATTAGTGCAACATATTCGGCAGAAAATAGATTCATTTTCATCAGATGACAATAGAAGTGCTACACTATTTGGCTAGCAGCCACAAAAGTAAATGAGCTTACAATGAAAAAGCTATGTATCTTTTGCCAAAATGATGCATGGCCATCATATTTCTAATGTTTATCATAGAAAGAATGTAGCCAGCTACATTTCCAAATGTTTGGCTTTAAGTTACAAGTGTAACTGAAGCTCAAAATGAGTCTGATGCCGAACAGAAATTACAAACAGGAGCATTTTATATCTGCGCTTACAAAACGCAGCAAGATATTTCTTAGGCGTTTTATCTCTTTTCTGTGTGATAAAAACAGAATTCTGCATTAACGCGACCCATGGTGTAAAATATAAAGGACATTTCATGTTGAAACCCTCCTTTTAAAACGCCAATGGTATTCACTAAGTTGATGGGTTATATTTAGGATAATGTTTTACAGCTTTGTCATTCTATTTTAAATTAGAAATAATTACAGACACCTGTGATAATCTGAAGTAGCCAAAAAGGCCACTAGATGTCATAAATTCAATAAAATCCTTGAAAGTTATCAAAATTCTGGTAGTTTACTTGTAAACCTTGAAAGTTACCAGTAACATACCCTCCCTTTGCAACCCTAGTTAAAACAGATGATCCAGCCAAAGCCACCTCTTCAACTAACCAGATGGCCTGTGTCTACAGTACACAGAGAAAAGAAATGAAACAGCGCATTGAAACTGACCTCCTCTGAAAAGCAACAATAGACCATTTTATCTCTCCCCGTTTAGGGCACTCATTGGGGGAGAACCCCCCCCCCCCCCCCCACCAGATTCATTAAAAATTAATTTATCCCCAGACACTCTTTGATGCTGGACCCAAATAGAGTCCGGTCCGCATTTAATGTGCGACGACAATATGAAAAGCTGGCAGCATTTACAATCCAAATGAAACTGCTTCCCCTTCCACCTTCCAGCCTCAGACAACAGACAGACAAGGTAGCAGCACTCATTAGTCTCCACTTGGCTTGCCACTTTCAGTCTCTCAGCCCCCACAGTCTTCCTCTTCTGAATTAACATACAGCCAGGAACACAACCAGAGCTCTACATTAAGTCCTGAGAACAAGGTGCCAAGGTAACCAAGGCCAGCAGGTGTGCATTCAAATGATACACCAATAACAGACAATGGAAGCGAGAGGTGTGGGGAGGGAGCATTGCGCTACCCTTGAATCCTAATTTCTCGGACGGACAGAGTGTTATGGAGCTGAGATGTTAACCTGAGTGCCAGTCTGTTTGTGCCATCATGCCAACTCCTTGTCACTCATTGGCATGCCAAACATGGCTTGACAATGAAAGCAAATAGTTGGCAAGAGCACAAACCAATCTGGGACCAGGCTAGGGGACTGGCTGACCATGGGGAGAGGTTCAGGCCAGGGAGGGAACCAGGGTGAGGAGGGGGGCAGTAGAGTCGGTGAAAGGACCTCTAGTGTGAGTGAGGGGGTGGATGGTGGAGGCTGAAGGGAGCCAGAGCAGAAGGGCTTGGAGTGGAGTGCCTCAGGCTGACGGGCGTTTTAATGAGGCGCTCCTCCTTGTGTCGCTCTCTCTCTCTTGCTCTCTCTTTCAGCCAGACTGCCTGTTGGAGCCTTGAGCTGAGCTGAGCGGGGGAGGCAGACAAAGGCAGCAGAACAGCACATTGTGTGTCAGACATGAGTGGCTGCTGCCTCCCTCGCCTCAACAGTCGACACACACACACACACACACACTTCACTTCAGCCTGATCCAGGCGTGTGCTGCCGGGGGGGGGGGGGTGGGGTCCATAGGTGAGAGCACTTTCCTGTATCAAAGAGGAAGAAAGGAGTGAAGAGACAGAGGCAAAGAATACAATGGATTGTTCACATTTGCTCAATTTAGACCCCTGAGCAAATCTGTGGCCTGAAATGGTAATGCTATCTACTTCCTGTGAGAGGATAAAGTCAATCTTTCCATTACCAAGGTAACTGCATTGAGATCCCCTTTCCTTGTATAGCCTATCCTCCTTTGTGTGAGATTCCAGAGTGGCTCTGTGTGCTTGGCCATCATAGAGAACTGGAATACACAGGTTTCTGAGCCCAGCTCCGCTGAATCAAAATCAATCTGGATGTACAGAGGCGGCATTGGCTGGGGGATGTGGGGGATAGGGCCTAAGTGCCTGGCTGCTTCCATTCAGAGCTCCATTGGGAGGATTATACTGAGGTGGATGGAGATTAATTCAGTGGGGTAGATAGATCTCACCAGGTGCATCCCAAATGGCACCCTATTCCTCATGCAGTGCACTAATTTTGACCAGAGGTCTATGAGCCCTGGTCAAAAGTAGCACACTACATTAGGATATAGCTTGACATTTGGGACGGTGCCACCTATACATCCAATGAGCTGTGCTTCGGTCGCCTTTCGTCCACCCTTGACCTTCAACCAATGGTAGATCTCATTACTGGCCTAGTCAACACACTGGTTTAATATATGCAGCACAGCAAAGAGAGCTTCTCTCTGCCAGTCCTTCTAGGAGGGCAAGACACTGACAGTACACTCACAGTAGGTCATCATCATTACTAGCCTATATATGATGTGTAACAGAGAGCACATGGAGTCATTTCATTTGGATGTATTTAACCAGGATAGTCCACTGAGTAACCCTTGCCACTGGTTTCCAGGGTGTAAGTGAGAATGAAGTGAACACTAAACACTGCATGCTTGACTCCACACTAGCTAAGTGTTTCTGACATTTTGGAAGTGGAATGAGCCTTGATTTGTACAGGCACATTGTGCTTCCAGAGGTGTCACCTGCCTGGGTTATGAGGGGAAGGGAGGACAACATTTCACCCAGAATAGTTAATCAATGCCCCATGAGTCACCTGTCCTGAAACCTTCCCCAGTGTTTGACTCCACCTGTCATTCCTTATTCTCTTTCACAGACACCTTTTCATCTGTGACATTTCACCCACCGCCTCCCATCAAAAGACCCCCAGAACCACAGACGGAGCTGGACGATGCTTAGCCCAATTAGCCGACCAGGCCCTACGGCCCTGTTGGCTCTTCCATCTAACTCCCTCAGCCCTAGTTCGAAACCCAGCCAGCCCAGCTCTGTAACCTGTGGACCAGTCAAACTCTGCTGTGTGGATCCAGGTTTCCACTCTGTCTGGTACCAATTTAGGGCTAAAATCATCCACACTCTGCTCTTCTCATTAGTGGCTGTAAAATTCATTATTTAAATGCCCTCCATCTACGCAAAAGTGAAAATGCTACCATCCACTTTACATGACACTGGCTTCTGGACTGAAATGTTCACTTCCCACTCACATTTCAAACTAAATCATGCAGTAACCATGATGACCATTCAGAAAGCACAGGAAAGCAGCAGACAGAGAACCCATCTGAGACGTCCGTGATGACGACAACGACTTAAAGAAATCCAACAGCAGGCTCATTTTAGTTTCTCCACCTTCAGCAAACCCTCTTTCAGGAGGCCACTAAAGCCATCGGGGATAGAATAATGGGTCTGATCCTACATGAATCCTAATGGTGAGTCTGGACTGTAAGAGTAGTCTATGTATGCATCCCTAATGGCACACTATGCCCCAAATAGTGCATTACCTTTGATCAGAGCCCAATGGGCCTATAGCGCACTATATAGGGAGTAGGGTGCCATTTGGGTGTCTCTCACTCCCCCTCCCTCCCGACAGTCTTGAGGGTGGATAGTGTTTGGCAGGACTGTGGTTAAGGCAGTAGGATCTGGAGAGGGCTTGGCAGGGCCTTCTCTGTGTGTCTAGCAGACATCAGGGCTGTGGGGCAGGCCTGATTATACAGAGACAGATGGTTGGCATGAAGGCAGCAAAGGGCCTTAGACTTAACTAGCATGAGACAGCCAGTCTCTTCACACACAAAGACAGACACATAACCATCCCTACTTCAAAGAAAACAACTTAGGCTACACCATAGAAATAGAATCTAGGCTATTTCTGTGGTCTACACACCACGTTCACCCAGATTAATCTAGCTAAAGTAGGGGACACTGACCCCAATTCACATGCTCTGCCTTGTGGAGAGCCACAGACTTATGACCATAAACCGAGATGGCAGCTAATATTAAGGTTTTGACTATGTGATGTAACAAAAGACTTGGCCCTAAGCAACTTCAGACATGACATAATGCCATGTGAGAGCAGAGCGGGTGTCCCTCCCTGGGCCAGAGAGAGAGCAGAGCGGGTGTCCCTCCCTGGGCCAGAGAGAGAGCAGAGCGGGTGTCCCTCCCTGGGCCAGAGAGAGAGCAGAGCGGGTGTCCCTCCCTGGGCCAGAGAGAGAGCAGAGCGGGTGTCCCTCCCTGGACCAGAGAGAGAGCAGAGCGGGTGTCCCTCCCTGGGCCAGAGAGAGAGCAGAGCGGGTGTCCCTCCCTGGGCCAGAGAGAGAGCAGAGCGGGTGTCCCTCCCTGGACCAGAGAGAGAGAGCAGAGCGGGTGTCCCTCCCTGGGCCAGAGAGAGAGCAGAGCGGGTGTCCCTCCCTGGGCCAGAGAGAGAGCAGAGCGGGTGTCCCTCCCTGGACCAGAGAGAGAGCAGAGCAGGTGTCCCTCCCTGGGCCAGAGAGAGAGCAAGGTATATTAGAAGTAGACTCAGCAATATGACAGATGCAGAAAGTAAACAACATATTGGGTCAATTTCCGCAACAATTAAGAGCGTTGAAGCGTGAGGCTCAACTTCTCTACTGTTTTGGTGCCCTGGCTACCACACCGTGAACAGCGTGAAGCAAACCCATGCACAGATACTGTGTGAGAGCGAAGTCTTGCATCTCGCTCATCTCAATATCTGCGATGCTGCTCGTGGCAACATTTCACTGAGTCAACCTTTTAATTAAACATGGCACACCAGTCCAGCAGGGCCAGACACACATTACAAAGTTAAATGCCTCTGCCGCACTGCTCGCCTTCAATCTCAAGACATGGAATTTCCTCCTGCAGCAGGATTTAAATAGGGCCAATCGCTTTTGCGCTCTCATTTTGAGTGGTCTCTAATACTCACCAGGCAGTCGCCAACCCTGATCCCCCAATGATTCCCAGCTATTTATTCACTCCTCCCACTCCAACCAAATTTAGATTCTCCTTTTTCATTGGTCAACTAAAGGATAGTGGGAATTGGGGCAGTAGGGTAAACTCACCTCGATACTGAAGTAGCCTCGGTCTACGTAGTCTCCGAGGAAGAGATAGCGTGTGTTGCTGGGCGAGCCTCCAACTTCAAACAGCTTCATTAGGTCAAAGAACTGTCCGTGGACATCTCCACACACTGAGGACAAACAAACAACACTGTTAGGGAAGGAAACACAATAGTTTATTATCCTCTAATACAGGAGATGCGTGGTCCTATATGACAATACTTTGACAGTAATTTGAGAGAGTAGCCTCATTCAGTCTATGAAGAAGTAATCTATTCATGTAAAAATTTGAATTACAGGGAATAAATGTAGGTCTATATTAAATCAATATGTTTTCCTCTATTATTTCTCTGTAATACAAAAAAATACTTGAATAAGCCTGATGGGAGTCAGAAGAGAAAGCCTCTATTAGAGAGACTAATGCGTAATTCGAAGTCCACAGATGCAGAAACGCAATAGTCCGGCGTCCCATTGTGACATAGGTACATGGCTCTGAGACCACCATCTGCGGGGGAAGCACAGGCCGAACGCGCACCTCTCCACAATTCCCAACCAACGCTGCTCCACATATGCGTCCTCTATTCATTTGGATGTGTTAACATTTGGAGAAATTGTCTGAGCCGCGGTGAGAATTCGAAAGGTATGAAAGTCAACGGTCCAATATTCTAACCTAGAACACTGCTGTGTGTACACGTACACGTTTTGGACTCTGATAGGTGCTGAAGCTGGACCAGGACGGTAAGGACAGCTGTGTGAAACTGAGTTTAGTTCAAAGGCAGTTGATGACACCCAGAACTCTGGCCAGTAAAATAAGTCTACTCCACTCCAATACACTTTCTGTCAACAGATGCATTAAACAGTGGTGTGGCACCACATCATATTGCCCAGCCCAGTGTTTACTCTGGGCCTGGTTAGGCACTATGCCATGGCACTGACTGTCTGTCCATCTGTCTGACTGTCTAAGAGAGAGAGGTGAATGCATCATCATCACTCAGCATATGTATAGGCCAGAGGAAGTAGTCTAACCAGCTGGAACCAACCTGATCCCTGCGTTCTCACCATTCTGTTTCACCGGATACGTGCAGTAAAACAGAATGGTGAATGGAGGAATCAGACTGCTTCCACCAGGCTAGAATAAGGCACTAATGTGTACTATTCAAATCCGTAGGACGTATATGATGTAACCTAAATCCATAAGACCTGGGGTTTAAAACGAACTTCCTAAACACGGATGTTGCTTTAGACAAAATCCAAAAGGTCAGGCTTCACAAGCTAAACACAACTAGACCTAATGACAGACTAAATGTGCCTATTTGCATTCGCTCCCTTTAAAGTAGCAGCAGGTAAGTTCCTCCTCAGATAAAGGGAGGCAATGTACTCAACTGTGTTGTGTACTCAACTCTATCTTCCTGCATAAAACAGTGAAAGAAAGGGAGCTTCAAGTCAACAGCCAGTCACATAGACAGTGTACAAAACTTCCATGCTCTTTCCATGACAGACTGTCCAGTTGAAAGCTATGATCCCTTATTGATGTCACCAGTTAAATCCACTTCAATTAGTGTAGATGAAGGGGAAGAGACAGGTTAAAGAAGGATTTTAAAGTCTTGAGACATGGATTGTGTATGTGTGCAATTCAGGTCGCGTCTACACTTGACACTAACATGCGACTTCTGCTATCAGAATACAAAGATTGCATTGAAAAGACGGGTGTTCAGATCTGTGTGTTCAGATCTGGCTGACCACTTCAGGTGGTGGTCAGGGAGGCATTTTGTGCGGATTTCTCCTCAGACTGGAAGCAATAAGGCTACCGAAAGCGCATACAGTGGGTGACGTCATCAGCACTCCACCTACAAGTCTCCAGAAAATGTATGTTTTGGGACCGGGAGGCACCTTCTCATTATAACGTTGGAGGAAATACATTCCTAGTGTGTGAAGAATGTGTTTGCTGGCCTCAAATGCTAGCCAGCTAGCAAAAATTTGGAAAAATATTTTTTGTTTGGCTAGAGTTATGCTAACCCGTTTGCAATCCCTTTAGCGTTGATTGCAACATTTACATTTTAGTCATTTAGCAGACGCTCTTATCCAGAGCGACTTACAGGAGCATTACATTTACGTCATTTAGCAGACGCTCTTATCCAGAGCGACTTACAAATTGGTGCATTCACCCTATAGCCAGTTGGATAACCACTTTACACATTTTTTTAATATTTTTTTTTAGGGGGGGGGGGGGGGGGGGGGGGGTTGAAGGATTACTTTATCCTATCCCAGGTATTCCTTAAAGAGGTGGGGTTTCAAATGTCTCCGGAAGGTGGTGAGTGACTCCGCTGTCCTGGCGTCGTGAGGGAGCTTGTTCCACCATTGGGGTGCCAGAGCAGCGAACAGTTTTGACTGGGCTGAGCGGGAACTATGCTTCCGCAGAGGAAGGGGAGCCAGCAGGCCAGAGGTGGATGAACGCAATGCCCTCGTTTGGGTGTAGGGACTGATCAGAGCCTGAAGGTACGGAGGTGCCGTTCCCCTCACAGCTCCATAGGCAAGCACCATGGTCTTGGAGCAATTAGGGTTAAGTGCCTTGCTTAAGGGCACATCGACAGATTTTTCACCTAGTCGGCTCGGGGATTAGAACCAGCAACCTTTCGGTTACTGGCACAACGCTCTTACCCACTAAGCTACCTGCCGCCCCGGCAGCTAGCTACAGAGGTAAGCTGGCTAGTTAGCTACTGCCATCAGCTGTTGTGTTATTATCATATTTTGCCTATTCCACTGTTTGTAGAATGCATATAGCAAGGGAATCCGGAAACACTGCGGACACATTAGACACATTTAAATGTAAGTGTGGATGCATGACGTGTTCTGAATTCCATGATCAGAACTCTATGATCAGAATACTAAAGCTGCATGAACTGTCAAGTCTAGACACGGCCTCAGAGGGTGAATGGGCAAGACAAAAGATTGAAGTGCCTTTGAACGGGGTAGTAGGTACTCTTGACACCTTGTAGTCCATGCCCCGATGAATTGAGGCTGTTCTGAGGGCAAAAGGGGGTGAAACGCAATATTAGGAAGGTTACCAAGTTCTTCTTTCCAACCTAATGTGTGTCTGTGTTTATATCGGAGGGGTGGGTATAGCAGCATTTCTGTCTCAAATTGATTAATAAAGTTTTCTTCTCTTACCTGTGATGGGTGCCTCTACCTCCAGCATGCATTTCTCCTGTCGCAGGATGTTGGCTCCGTCGTTGATGATCCGGAGGGCCACTTCTTCCTCCAGCCGGCCCTCCTTCACCAGGTGGGTTCGGAGGGTCTCTGGGTTGGGCTTGCCATCCTCAAACAGCTCCTTCATAGACAAACGCTGCTGTGGAGGGTACGGCACAGCTGGACAGGGGAACAGAGGGCCAAACCGATATTAAGGATGAGTATCAAAAGGTAGCCTATTCCTGTTTAGTACACTACTTTGGACCAGGGCTTTGGCCATAAGTAGTGTACTACATAGGCTAAGGAATGCCATTTGGGATGGGGCCTTGGTCAAAAGTAGTGCACAAAAGGGAATAGGGTGCCATTTGGGATGCACCCTAAATCCACTTGCATTTAGATTCAATACCTAAATGAGTGCTGCAAATTACAATGCATTATGTCCAACATTAGTGTACTACAGATGGTTCATTTGTGCTGGCAAACCGCATACAATCTAGGCTTTAAATTAGCCTAGAGAATTAGAATGACAACCCAGATCTTAGCACAAAGCACAATATCAAGCCATCCAGTATTAATTTTAAACAAACTGATGGGGTGTGTTTCCCCATCTGCCTCCAGTGTCCACCCAGTCATTAATAGACTAGTGCAGCAGGCGGCAGCATCCCGTGGTAGGCTAGTCAGTCACTGTGTATCAAATGTCATTCCCACTAAGGTGTTATCAGAAGTGGTTGACATTTAGAGAGTGATGAAGTTATGGTCACAAGAGGACTCCTGTTGATGCAGAGGCTATGCTATAATAACGCAGCCATGCAAGGTCTCAGACGCCAAGCAACAATCTATCCCGGCTCACCTCACGTGAACCGCCTAGCCTGGTCGCTAATCTGTTCTACAGTCCCACAATCCCTTGCAGAGTACAAAAGGTTGCTGTGGCATAAGAAACTTGATAATGTTTTAGCTACTGGACTCTCAGTTGTCAAAAGAATAATCCAAATAGACAAATGTTCATCTTTTGTTCAGAAACAAGGATAAATTGTGTAGCTAGTAGCGACGCTGGCAAGCAATTAGAAAATATGACAATGATGTTGTTTTTAGGTGTAGGCTATAATAAAGACTTGGTGTGGAATGGATGGGTCACCAGTTGGATTACAGGGGGCAACAACCTCCAATCGTTAAACAGGAAAGGACTGTTCCAATACAAATCAGCAGACAGACCGATAGGATAGTGATGAGGCATTTACCACATCTGAATAATGTGGCATGCCATTTCCAGCCTTCCCTCTGTCCTGGTTTGAAAGATACTGTCTAACATCAGGTCAATTGACCTATAACCTTTCACAGAGCCACACAGTGTCTTCTACTACAAGCACACTGGTCTTTGTTTTCTAAAGAAGCCCAGCAATGACAAACTAATCAAACTGTCATTAAAAAAGGCCATTAGATCCATATCCACGGTCACTTTAGATCACAGGTGTCAAACTCATTCCAGGGAGGGCCGAGTGTCTGCAGGTTCACTCCTCCCTTGTACTTGATTAATGAATTAAAACCAGCAGACACTAGGCCCTCCACGGAATGAGTTTGACACCCCTGCTTTAGATGCCTGAGAAGAGGCCACAGCCTGGGGGGGGGTTAAGTCAGTATCAGGGGCTACTCAGTCTCCACATGGCTCTGGTTATAACACTGTACAGAACATCAAGGATGATTAGAGGCCACTGGCCGCTCATGAAAGCCACATAAACCAAAGGCTGGAATATGAGTGAGCTCTAATTAGCTTCTGTGTGGGTGTGTTTAATCAGCGCGATGGCACCTGACTCTGCAGAGGACCAGAGGTAGCCTGATGCATTATAACCTACCACTCATCTCAGGTTTCCAGGAGGTTGACACTGGTCTGGAGAGATGAGGGGGGAGGTTGACTTGTGCAATGTGTCAGCAGCAGAATCACCTGATAATATTTTCTGTCTGAGACAAACACTGTTGTCCATGCTTATTTTCTTCACTAGCGTCATTGACAGGTTTTGGAGTAGGGATGTTAAGGTTAACAGTTAATCGGTTAGCTGCCAGAAATACACTTGACCGGTCATGCTTATCGGTCTAAAGGTTAATTTGCATAATTGAGTGGAATTAAATTGACACGTGTGTATTTTCAGTTAGTTGTCATGCATCTTATTTATCACATGCGCACAGCATATAAAGTTTAGTTTGAGGAGCGGAATAGTACCTGTCGGACAGCGCGAGAGCTGAAGCTCCTCAAACCGCTGATTCCCGCTGGAGTGAAGTGTTCTTATAAGCCAAATCATTGTGCAACAATTCTAAATGCAATCGCAAGTTTTGATGGCCATGATTAAAAAGAGGATCCCAGCTTTCTATGATTACTATTTTTATTTCTCAACTCCTAATTGAAAGGTGACCTCCATTTGCATGCATAAACGCGCCAGCACCTTGTAATCTAAGCTGGAGGCAGTATGCATTTTGAAAACATGTAGCCTACTTAATTGTTTGAAACCTGGACGTTTTACTTCATATTATGATGCATGTCTTACCTTGCTTCAAAGTAGCCTAGCCAAAATCCCACCATAAAAAACGACCTTAATTTCGAGCCCTGGAGGGAATTATTTTATAAAGACATCAAAAGTATTTGGTTGTAATGTTGAAATATTTTATAGGCTACCAAGGGTGGCCAACCATCCTCCAGGAGAGCCTTAAAGGGGCAGTGTTGTATTTTGAGACAGGCTTGAATATGCAAAGAAGCCAATAGGCAGAGTGTAGCCTACATTTTCTCCTGATTCTCTATGGTAAACAAATATTTTGTAAAGTGGTTCCTTGCATCATACAATTATGTAAAAATTGTTAGACATTTTTCTTTTGGACAAGTGACTTCAGCTTTTGAACAACTAACAAAAATGTCCTACTTGTTCAAAGGACAAAGGACAAGTGGTTAAAAAAATTATGTCAAGCCCTGTTTTCATATCAACATTATTTAGTTGTCCAGAAGCCAAAAGGTACAATGCTAGTCATAATAGCAACGCATCGTAGTTGCTCCATCTTTAGATTCCCCCCTTTCTAAGTTTCAACCTGAGATTTTCATCAGTCACATATGGAACCGCTCGCATCAGGTGCACTTTTTAGAATGTTTTTCTTTACCACAAATTGCATTTTGGAAAATGACGTTTTACATTGGTTGCTTCATTACAGGAGTTGCATGTTCATGGCTGAGAGACGATAGGCTTGCTATTGTTGCATGTTTCAATTAAGCTCTTAATGAAAAATGTGCGTTCAGTGTATGCATGCTCTGTTGGTCACATCATTTTACTGTTTGGAACAAATTTTAACGTTTGTTAACCGGTTAATGAGAGTCGGTTAGTCAGCAGCAAAATTGACCGAAATTTGCATCCCTATTTTGGAGCAACCATCAGTCAAACGCAAGTCCATCCTATTCACGCACTACTTTTGAACAGAACCTTATGATACTATGCAGCCTTGTTTTGGTGTGCAGCACAGGACAAGTGGGGCGCAGGCTGGCTATGTGATGTGCTGGCATGGGATGGGGGATGGATGTATGGGTTACTGGCACTGACCCGGCCGGCCGGTCTGCAGTAGGATTGCTACAGCAGCACACACAGTGAACTCCAACTTGGTCACCCTATGATCAGGACAAGCTGTCATGCTCTGACAAGTGTAGTATAAATAAACGTAAGCGCTCCTGGGCCTACGAGGCAGGCCGTGAAAGGAACTGTAAGCTGGGTACGAGCGTTAAGAAGAGATTAGTCAAAGCCTCTATTAGCCTATTATTACAGGGTCAGAGTCTGTTTATTTGGTAGCCTAGCAAGCTAGCCCCACTGGAGGCAAGATCCTGGCCCCAAGGATCCAAGAAAATATGGATGGATGGAGACTCAGTGAGGGGCAAAGGCAGGCAGTGGCAACTATTTGTCAAGGGCTAAGCCTATTGGCCAGTTATTGGGATCAACAACACCATCTCAGTGAAACTGACTGGAGCAAGGCGGCTGGATCACACGTCGCACAGATCAGTCATGTATTTTAGGGTCAGCTGCGCATGATCTCAGTCTTCAGTGGTGGTGAGATTTAAACTGCTAGTGGTCAGGAGGACCAAGACTTTGGGAATAAAATGATAGGTTAGGATAGGCATACACTAGGCTTGGGCAATATACTGCTTATACCAGGCTATTTCAAAATACCCACAGTATGATTTTCAAAACAATAAAAAAATAATAACGCATTGCGGGGGCTGCGTGGTACACCACTGCTTATGACTAAGTATGACTATAAGAAATCTAAGATGTCAAATTAATGATATCCAGCTCAGGGCTCCAGCTATGCATTTGGTTTGCTAACTTGCTAGCTAAGTGGCCAGATGTCAAGAGCAAGCTTCTTGGTTAAAGCAGAGACATCCAATCCCCTCCTGGATCAAGATCCCTGTTTCCTAAATTGTTTTGTGCGTAAAAATTTTTACATATATTTTGTATTTTGGGGGGAATAGCGCCCCTTGTGTGCACTTCCGGTAATACCGTATACCCCGGTATGGTACATGACGGTATGAAAATCTGGATACCGCCCAACCATAGAGTACACTGTAAATTAATCTTTCCTTCAGATTAGTTTACTAATTAGCATGGATGTTCAATGGCCTCTGCTTCATGACAAATGAGATCTTGAGTCTAATGAAGTACATCTCACCCAAACAAACAATATTTATTACATTTTCTGCGTTTCCCCCAAGATTTTTTTTATAGGATTTTTTTCAGCCGCGGTGGGGGGGGGGGGTGGGATCTTCCTGGGGAATATCTCAACATCTACAACAACAACAAAATAATTATGTGGCAGCAACGATTTACCAGCCGCGGTGCACTGATGCAGAATCAGGGCAGTGGATGTGGCCCAGGTACTGAGGGAAGGTCTCTCCCATCCAAATTGCCCTTATCACTGAACGCCTTTACTCAGCCAATAATTACACAGAGTGGTGGTCATCTCTTGCACTTAGTGACATCACATACTCTGTGCACTGCACAGGACCCAACTGGGCTGCTCCCTTTCAGACAAGAAGAGATGCCAAGGCTACACTCTTTTTTAATAACCCATACCAAATGATTGAATTGAGGCTCCCCTTAAAATCACGCTAATGAAGTGGAGCACTAA